TGTGGTGGTGCAGGCCTGTAATCCCAGCTACTCAGGAGGTTGAGACAGGAGAATTGCTTGAACCTGGGAGGTGGAGGTTACAGAGAGCCGAGACTGCACCATTGCACTCTAGCCTGGGCAACAGAGTGAGACCCTATCTCAAAAAAAAAATATAAAAAAAAAAAAAAAAAAAGAAGAAAAGGAAAGAAAAAGTAGATAAGAAAAGAAAAGAAAAAGAAGAAAAGAAAGGAAAATAAAAAGAAGAAAGGAGAGGAGAAGAGAAGATCAGAGAAAATCAGAGAAAAATCAATGAAAACAAGAGCCGGTTCTTTGAGATGATCAATAAAGCAGATAAACCTATAGCAAGACTGATTATGAAACAAAGAGAGAAAACCCAAAGTTAAAATGTTAGGAGTAAGCCAAGCATGGTGGCTCATGCCTGTAATCCTAGCACTTGGGAGGCGGAGGTGGGAGGGTCACCTGAAGTCAGGAGTTCAAGACCAGACTGGCCAACATGATCAAACCCCATCTCTACTAAAAATACAAAATAAGCCAGGCATGTTGGTGCACGCCTGTAATCCCAGCTACTCAGGAGGCTGAGGTGGGAGAATGGCTTGAACCTGGGAGACGGAGGTTGCAGTGAGCCAAGATTGTGCCACTGCACTCCAGCCTGGGCGACAGAGCAAGACTCCATCTCAAAAATAAATAAATGAATAAATAACATAAAATGTTAGGAACAAAAGAAGTGATGTCACTCACCACAGATCTCAAAGATAACAAATGGATAATAAGAAAAGATTATGAACATTATGCCAATACATTAAACAACTTAAACAAAATGAGCAAATTCTTTCATATATACAAAAAAGACTCATTCAAGAAGAATTACATAACTAAATAGCTCTGTTTATTACAGAAATTGAATTTGTAGTTAAAAGTTTTCCCACAAAGATGGTTTTATTGGTTAATTCTACTGAATACTTCTTACTTAAATAGTATCAATTCCTTATAAATTCACCCAGAAAACTGAAGAGGAGGGAATACTTCCCAACTCAGCAAATAAACTAAGCATCATTCTGATCCCAAAACCAGACAAAGATATCACAATAAAAGTGAACTAAAGACAACTATCCCTCAATAATTCAAGTGCAAAAAATAAATATTATCAAAATTTAGCAAAATGAATACAATATGAAAAAAAATACATCATAACCAAGTGAGGTTCATCCCAGTAAGGTTGATTTAATATTCTAAGAATTAATTCTAACATCATAAAATTAATGAATAAAATTCACTGTAAAATAACACAATCAAAACGAGAAATATCTGATCACCTAAGTAGATACAGAAAAAGCATTTGACAAATGCTAATATTCATGAATGATAAAAATTCTCTGAAAACTAAAAACAGAAGGAAAGTTTTCAGCCTGATAAAGGGCATCTATAGAAAAACCTATAGCTAACCTCATTCTTAATGTAAAGGATTAAATGCTTTTCCCCTAAAAAGAGACACAGGAAAAGATAACTGCTTTTACCACCTCTAGTCAAAATTATACCAGAGGTTCTGGTCAGTGTAATCAGGCAAGAAAAGAAAATACATGTCCAGATTAGAAAGGAAGAAGTAAAACCTGTGTTTGTAGATGACACGGTCAGGTATACGGAAAATTCTAAAGAAGCTACACAAAAACTACTCAAGTAAGGAAGCTTAGCAAGGTTGCAAAATATAAGACCAACATTAAAAAAAAAATTTCTATATACCATAAACAATCAGATATCAAAACTGTTAACTAATTGCAGTTATAAAATTCAAAAATATGAAATACTTGGGGATACATTTAACAAAATATGTGCAAGATCTGTACCCTAAAAACTATAAAACATTGTTTCTAGAAATCAAAGAAGACCTAAATGGAGAAATATATCATGTTCATGAGTCAGAAGACTCATTATTGTTAAGATGTCAACTTTTCCCAAATCGACATATAGATTTATGGCAATTCCATTCATAATCCCAGCCCACTTCTCTATAAAAATTGACAAGCTGATTCTAAATTTACATGGAAATGCAAAGAACATAAAATAACCAAACTTCTTGAAAAAGAAAAAAAATTGGCCTTTAATATATGACTCAAGACTTATTATAAAGTTGTATTCAAGATAGCATAATATTGCCATAGAGAAAGAAACGGATCCATACATATATTGTGATCCATATGGTCAATTAATTTTTCACAAAGATGTCAAGGCAACTCAGTAGAAAAAAAGACATACTTTATTATTGTTAATACAGTCAAGAACAGAATTGAAAAAGATACCTTTTTACCAAAAAATGGTAGAAAATTTTGATATTCACATTCAAGAAAGAGAGAGAGCAGAGGGAACTCAATTCTTAGCTATTATATATAAAAATTACCTCAAAATGGATTATAGCCCTACAAGCAAGAATTAAAACTATAAAATTCCTAGAAGAAAACATGAGAAAAAAATTAGTGATCTTTGCAAAATTATTTTAAATGTGATACAAAAATCATAGACTATAAAAGAAAAGAATCAAACCCTTGACTTCATCGAAAAAAAAATTATGACTTCAAAGGACATTTATGAAAATTAAAAGGCGAGTCACTGAGACGAAATATTTGCAAAAACATCTATTCAACCAAGGATTTATATCTAAAATACATGTTAAAACACTCACAACTTCATAAGACAGCAACCCAATTTTTTAAATGGGCGAAGATCCGAACAAACATGTCACCAAAAAAGAGACATACCATCATGCACCGCATAACAATATTTTAGTCAATGACAGACCACTAATACTCTGGTGATCCCATAAGATTAAAACACAACTGAAAAATGCCTGTAGCTTACTGATGTGATAGCTGTGATAACATTGTAGCAAATTTTGCTTTTTATAAATTTAGTGTAGCCTAAGTATAAGACGTTTACAGAGTCTACAGTAGTGTACAGTAATGTCCTAGGCCTTTGCATTCACTCACCACTCACTCACTGACACTCCTAGAGCAACCTCCAGTCCTGCAAGTAAGTGATCTATACAGGTGCACCAATTTTTATCTTTTATACTGTACTTTTACTGACTCTTGCTATATTTAGATATACTTAGATACCCAAGTACTTACCATTGTGTTACAATTACCTAAAGTGTTCAGTACAGTAACATGCTGTACAGATTTATAGCCTAGGAGCAACAGACTACATCATACAGCCTAGGCATGTGGTAGGTTAGACCATCTAGGTTGTGTAAGTACATTCTATGATGTTTGTGCCATGATGAAATCGCCTAATGACATATTTCTCAGAACGTATCCTCATCATTAAGTGATGCATTGACTGTACAGATGGCAAATAAACAAATGCAAAGATGCCAAGTAGCATTCGTCACTATGGAAATACATATGAAACCATACCATGAGATACCACTATGCATTCACTAATATGACTAAAACTTAAAAGATTGAGCATACTGGATTGGTGAATGCTATGATTTGAATGTTCCTTCCAAAACTCATGTTAAAACTTAATTCCCAATGTAATCATATTAAGAAATGGAGCCTTTAACAGGTGATTGGGACATGAGGGCTGGGTCATGAGGGCTCTCTCTGCCTCATGAATAGATTAATTCATTCATGTGTTAATGGATTAATGGATTATGGAGGGGATGGGTTATTTATCATGAGAGTGGATCTGTTAGAGAAGCCTGTTTGGCTTCTCAGGAGCCCCCTTGCCATGTGATGCCCTGTGCCACCTGGGACTCTGCAGAGAGTCTGTACCAGCAAGACGTCTCTACCAGATGTGGTCCCTCCACCTTGGACTTCCCAGCCTCCAGAACTGTAGGAAATACACTTCTTTTCTTTATTAATCACCCAGTCTCAGGTTTCTATTATGGCAAATTAAATGAACTGAGACAGTGAGGATGTGGAACAGCTGAAATACTCATAAATTACTGGTGTGCATGTAAAATGTCACAATTACTTTGGAAAGCAGTTTGGAAGTTTCTTCAAAAATTAAAAAAAAAAACCATATGACTCTCACATTCCATTCCTAAGTATTTACCAAGGAGAAATGAAAACATATGTCCACAAAAAGAGTTGTATACAAATACTCATAATAGCTTTTTTGGAGAGCCAAAAATTGAACACAACCCAAGTGTCCTTCAACATGTTAGCAGATAAATAAATTGCAGTATATTCACTCTAATGACTTAAATTTATATCTGGGTGTGGTTGTGTATGCCTGTAGTCCCAGCTACTTTGGAGGCTGAGGTGGAAGGATTGCTTGTGCCCAGAGGTTCAAGATCAGCCTGGACAACATAGCAAGACCCCATCTCTTAAAAAGAGGAACAAATTATATCTTCAATCCTTTCAGTACAATGTTATTTTGTGTAGATGGCACTTTACCATAAAGATAAATCAAACTAAGGCAGGCCTCTATCTTGACTGCTCAAAACCTAAAAGACAGAATACAGTACACTTACTGGCACCTGGAGTCCTTGAGTATTCTTCTTTTTCTTTGAGAATCTCCTGTCTTTGGTTAGCATTTTTGCTTTGACCCATGCTGCCTGCCCTATTTCTGAAGAGCTTGAAAGATCTGTAAGGGAAATGGTCTACATGAGAAAGTTTACAAAAGTATGGGGGGACCATTTTATTTTACAGAAAAAGGAAAAAGCTGAGAGAATGGGGAGAATGAGAATGTGGTTAAGAGTCATAGATTGGAAAAAAAAAAAAAAAACTGGTAGCAATGCAAAGGACTTAATATTGATTTTTTAAAATGTTTATTCCTTACTTTTAATCTTACAGATCTTCATCAATTTCTCCTCCTTATGGAATCTAAAGCTATGACTCCTAATGAAGGGCCTGTCTCTGCAGAGAGGATTGATCCAAAAGGATGTGTTTGGCTGAAGCCGCAGTCCCACCTCTGAGCACTCACTACTCTGGGCGGATCTTGTTGAGTTATCAGACAGGGAGCTGCCCTGGCTCTGCTTCTGGTGCTGTTCACTCCCAGCGAAATCACTGCCACAAGTGGAGGGCAAGCAAGTTTGCCATTTTTTCTTGATGCTAAACACACCAGTTTCATCACCTTCTGAAAATGCCCAGTTTACATATCCACCTCCGGTTTGCATGATCTTGGCTTGGGAAGGAGAGGAGGTCACTGCCATGGGTTCAGGTGTGCAACTCAAAGCGGATAGCACATTGAGTGCTACCACCTTGTCTTGTCCATCCAGTAAGTGAGCAGTTGGCTCATGCTGCTCCTTGGGTTTAGCCACTGATGCCTGGTTGGAGACAATTGGGGTCTGCCCAGTCAGATGAACAATAACCTCAGTCTGGACGTCCTGTTCATTTGCCAGCACATCTGTACTTGTTTCCACAGAGGGTCTGGATAGAGGCAAGACAGTTTCTGCTGAAAAAGGAACTTGCTTTAGATTAGAAGGGACCAGAAGAAACTGGCCATACTTTGAGTGTGCTTGTGTGTTAGGAGACACCACGGAAGCAACTATACTACTTTCTGTTTCTTGCTTTTCCTGGTCATTTCTTACATTTGAAGCGTCTCTTTTACTGTCTGTGATCTCAAGAAGAGCCCCCCTCTGCACTCCTCCGGGATGCCAGCCTCTGGCCAGGCTCCGCAGCAAAGAAGGGGGCATGCTATAATACTGGAATTTCTTCTCCCCAGCGATCTCCATGCTGCCTAGAACCTCTGCACAGATGACATTGCTCCAGCTGTGGGGAAGTTTTCTGCAAGTAGAATGCTTTCTCTTGGCCAGGAGAGCCTCATCCTCTTGCAAAGTGTCAACAGCAGAAAGGACTTTTAGGGTATCCACAGTCAGGGCAGAGAGATCCTGCAGGTGTCCCACCTGGCTGTCCAAAGACAGTAAGGAGTCCTTTATAAAAGTCACCTTTTCATTCATTTCTTTCAGTTGGAAGTACATCTCTGTAACCCTAGTGGTGAAGGGAGGGAGAAAACCAACAAGCACATTAAGCCAGTAGGAATTTGCTCTCTTCCTACCCTACTTCCATCCTTAAGTGACGCCTGAGCCTCAGCTGCTTCCCTAGGTTAAGTCTGTCTTTTGCCTTCTTCTTCCTCCGAAACATAAATGCCCGCTATTACCCACAGGAGAGGACAATTACTAATCTACATTTCTAGCCCTTATTTCTTTCTAATATTTTAGAACCCCATTTCGACTTCCACCTAATGATTTCCTCAATTGTGTGATCAATCATTCCATTTTTATTCATTAATATATTTATTAATTTACATGACAAACACTTGAATATTTCCTAATGGCAGGCACTGTACAATCTGAATGTGTATAGGAGATCCTGAGGAAGAAACAAGAATGATAGAAACAGAATCAATAATCAAATATGTAATTAAGAAAAGAAAAAACCCACAGATGTTTAAAATTAAAAAAAAAAATCTAACTCTACTATTCACTTAGGCTTCCCAAGTTTCAAACAATATCCATTTTAGAAGACCTATGCTCAGAAAAAACCTGAGTCACATTTTTAAAGTTGTTTTGAATGGTTTAAGCAAAGATTATGATGTTCAGCCATAGATTTATGTAAAAGCAACACAACACATCTTTAGCTATTCAAAAATAAATGTAAATTGCAAGTAAACTGAATTAAATGTAACAATTAGTCCAGGTGCGATGGCTCAGGCCTGTAATCCCAGCACTTTGGGAAGCAAGTGGATCATTTGAGGTCAAGAATTTGTGACCAAACTGGCCAACGTGGCGAAACCCCATCTCTACTAAAAAATACAAAAATTAGCTGGGCATTGTGGCAGGCACCTGTAATCCAGGCTACTCGGGAGACCAAAGCAAAGGCTGCTGTGAGCCGAGATCGTGCCCCTGCACTCCAGCCTGGGTGACAGAGTAAGACTCCGCCCTATCCCCTCGAAGAAAAGTAAAAATTAATTTAATTGAGAGATGGTTAATATTTATCTGTCCATTTCCTTGTATTTATCTCTGTATGGGATGAGTTTGGTTTTGTATCCCCCAAAAAGGCTATGGTGAAGTCTTATCCCAAGAACCATAGAATGTGACCTTATTTGGAAATCAGGTTTTTATAGAGGTAATCAAGTTAAAATGTGTCATCAGGCTGAACCCTAATCCAATATGACTGGTGTTCTTATAATGTGAAATTCTCACACACACACACACAGAGGGAACACAATATGAGGGATAAAATGGCCACATAACAAGTGATGCATCTACAAGCTAACAACACCCACAGTTGCCAGCAAACACCAGAAGCTAGAAGAGGCAAAGAAGGAGAGCGACATTGAGAAAGCATAGCCCTACCAACACCTTGATTTTGAACTTCTAGCTTCCAGAAGTGTGAAACAATAAAGCTCTGTTATTCCAAGACACCCAGTTTTTGGTATTTTGCTGCAGCAGCCCAGGGAGACTAATGCAGCTATCTCAGCTTCATGAGCAATGGAATACATTACAACATACATCAGAGTTGATTACATAAAAAGAAACTTTTTTCTCTGAAATCTAAGTGGCAATTAAAAAATTTAGAAAAAAAACGTTTGCAAAAATATCACACGAAAGTTTAAAACAAAAATAAATTAGAAAACTCATGTTCTAATAAATTTGATGAGGCATTGATATTCCTTGAGTAAACAAAAACTTTTACAATTTATTGAGGCAAAAAAATTACAAAGGGTCCCGAGGACATGAAGAGATGAAAAGATAAAATACAAAAGGTAAGAAAACACAGCAAAATAGTCAACCTCATTAGGTAATCAGAGATGAAAATTAAGATAATAATGAGTTAATCTATATCACAACAGCATTTGTTTTAACCTAGCAAATTAAAAAAAGAAAAAGTGAAACAACTCAGTGGTAGCAAGGATGGAACATAGAGACACAATAAATATAAAGGAACTGTAATCTTACTATGCTAAAGCAGACAGATATTTGTTATATTGTAAGAGAGAATATTATGCAGCCATTAAAAATCATACATTGTTGATAATTATTTTTGATGGCTATTTCTGGTGGTAGAGGCAGGGCTGGGGTTGCCTATTGTGTTTGGTGTTACGTTTTCAAATTTGGTATAAAATTTTTAAGTTCAGAAACAATAAAAGTTAAACTATATTTACCAAGTAGATGTAATTATTGGAGAAAATATTTTCGATGCGTCAGAGGGGAAAAACAGAATAGAAAATAGTATCATTTTAAATGGAAATATGTAGAAGACTAAATTTTTAAAAGCCAAAATTTTCACAATGAACTCTGACTTATCACATTGTTTTTTCTTTCTTTTCTTCCCTTGTTTTGTTCTGTTATTTGGGGGAGAGCACGTATAATTTCAGTTTCTCAGCAATGAAAATCTTTGATAAACAAGATTAAAGTGAAAAACAGCATGGGAGGGAATCTAACCAACTGTGTCATGGCTGCCTTGACCATTGCAGGAATGAAAAATGATTCCCGCTTTTATTTGGGGGCAGGGAGAAGTTGTGATTATGCCATGAAGAGTTTAACACTCAGCCGAAACAAGTACTTCCCAAAATAGTTTTAGACTTCCCATCTCTAGAACACATCTCAAGTCACAGGGATTGAAAGAAAGACCTTCCACTTTCTCTTTCTGGGACCTTTGTAAATAGAAATTAAAGCATAAAAAGAGTGGCATCTTCCATTTTTATTACATTGTATGTGAGTAGAACCCTCTCTTTCTTGCTTCTGCTATAGAATTCAACTTCTATAACTCAATAGAGGCTTAACAAATGCTTCCTGACCTTCTGGAATCTGTAAAATTAGAACTGGGAAGGATGATGTGGGAAACAGCACAAAATATATGTATACTTCCTTCCAAATATGCTTAATTAGAGCCTCTCCATCCAGTGTACTGTTTCATCTAATTCAAAAACAGTACAGTCTGAACAGCAGTAATGGAGATTCATTAAGTTCCATTAGCAGCAGTCACATCGAATGGATACAATAGAAACCAGCAACTATTCACAGGCACAGGTAACATGCTACAATAGAAACCTGTTAGACAAATAACCTGGTCACCCTCAAATCGGGTCTCTTGCTTTTATAGGTACTTATTTTCTAAAACTCAATGTCCTGTGAAACATATTTCAATTATATTACTGGACTGCCAACTACATTAATTTAATCTAGGCTTTTAGTCATTCTAACACATAAAATTTATAATTTTAGTTTCCTCTGTGCAAGGTACAAGGATGGAAGAAAAATGAGAATGGTAATTGTTTTATTATGGGCTTTTAGACAAGATATCTTAAAATGAGATAATAGCAAATATAATTACAATCATCATGAAAATCACCATATTCACTGAGTGCTCACTATGTACCAAGCATTTTATAAAGGTTCTACCTGTACTATTTTATTTAATCCATGTAACAACCCTATAAGATAGGCATTACTATTATCCTTTTGTAGAAAAGAGGTTGGGTAGGCCAGGCACAGTGGCTCATGCCTGTAATCCCAGCACTTTGGGAAGTCAAGACAGGTGGATAACCTGAGGTCAGGAGTTTGAAACCAGCCTGACCAATATGGTGAAACCCCATCTCTACAAAAAATACAAAAACAAAAAAAATTAGCCAAGTGCGGTGGTAGGTGCCTGTATTCCCAGCTTCTGGGGAGGCTGAGGCAGGAGAATCACCTTAACCCTGGAGGCACGGGTTGCAGTGAACTGGGATCCTGCCATTGCACTCCAGCCTGGGCAACGAGAGAAATTCTGTCTCAAAAATTAAAAAAAGCAGTTGAGTCACATAGCCAGAGTCACATGGTGAATGAAAACGTCAGGCATCAAACCCAGACAGGCCGACTCCATATTCAGTGGCATTGACCACTGCTTTCTGGTACTTCTCAGCAACTCACCTAGGATCCAGGAAATTTCTTTTGTAAGTTCCTAGAGTACCATGAAGTAGTACATGAACTACACCAACAAGTCCCATGCTGGGAGGTGTCACAGATGTTCCTCAGTAAGGCTTTATGGTCAAATAGCAGTGGGACCTGCTTAAGCTGTAACTCTGTGCTGATGAATTGCAATGCATATTATGTTAAAGTGTTTATATTTTTTAAAACCACAGTATTTCCCAAATATAATGTACCAAAACATGCTTAATGTGGAAAAATACCTAAAAGCATCTTACTCTGCTGAACAAAGAAAGGGCAAAGCTGACTTAAAGACCACTAGGATCAAAAAAGAAGTTAGAGTCTTGGATAGGGAGAGTGAGATGGAAAACAGCCTCACTATGTTCTCTTTTTCCACTGTCACAACTCACTTAATTCTAGAAGTATTCTGAAGCAATCTCTTCTTCAGAGGTAGGTTAACATGCAAAATCCTCCTAATTTTCTCCCCCTCCCTCTTCAAACTATTGCTCAATTACCTTAGGAAATATTCTCCCCTCTCTCCCGTACCTCATTTATGAGGTCCCCACAAATGACCTCAACAAAGATGTCAAGTGATCCACCGCCTCGGCCTCCGTGTCTGTTTTCCAAATAAGAAAACCAAGACTCAAAGAGGTTCAGTAAATTTGCCCATGTACATACAACTAGTAAGTACCTGAAGCAGGACTTCTTCGCAGCTCTGTAAGCTCCTAATATGGGCCTATGCTTCACATAAAACTAAGAACCAAGCTTGCCCATCAGACTCAATGAGCATAGCTATCAAGGGGGCAGAACATGTAGAATAAAGAAAGAGAAATTCATATCACTATGGACTAAAGATATTACGTCTGTGAAATCAAATTTTGTAGGCTCAAATTTTGATTTTCCATTATTTCTCAATATTAAATTTGATCTGAAATTCAATCAGGCACAGAAACACATATTTATATAAACATGGTACCAAGAGAGAAGTCCAGATATATATGACTTATGCCCATAGTGAAGCATTTAGAAAACTCTTCATGTGATTCAGTTTTAAGTAAAGCCATACTTAAGTATTCATATCTCTCTATCTGATATTTGCACATCAGAAAAAAACATGCACAATTAGGTATAATATTTCACAGTTCCATGTCGTTCAAAAATGAACACTTTAACTTCTGTCAATTTGCTTCCATTTACAAGAACAATGCTGTGTTTTTTTTTTAAAAAAAAAAAAAAAGGCATTTCATCACATATAGCCTTCCATATTTTCACACGACGCAATGCTCCCCCAACTAGTAATAAATCCACAATGGTCAGGTCCCACTATAGCTCCCTAGTATGTTCACGTTCTCCAGAACATCTTCTTTCTCCACAAACCTTTGAATGTCCCCCATACCACCTGCCTCCCTCAAAATATCTCTCTCTCTCTCTCTCTCTCACACACACACACACACACACACACACACACACACACACGAGCACACCCAGTCGACGACTTTGCCTCAAGAGCTGGGTGCTGCCGGCCCTGACTGCATTCCCGTGTACCCTGGCCACATCCCGTCCATTCCCCTGCTTCGGGGAAAAGCCCAGGTCCTCCATTTTCCCAGCTTCTCGGGGACTTCTCTTCAGCCAACGGCCTCCTCCCTCCTGCTCCCGAGTTTCTCCCTTGCTGGTGGGTCATTTCCAGGACCACGCTGTTTTATTTATCTCCACCTGAAGCAAAATCAAACAAAAGAACCTCACCTTGTCCCCAGACCTCATCATGCTTCCCTGCACTGTGACACTGCTCTCAAAAGCCACATGCAATTGCAGTCCCTGCCTCTCCTGTTCTCTCTTCACCCACTTCAGTGAAGCAGCCGCCAACTCCACTGCACACAACCGCGGGTCAGACGCCACGAGAACCCCGCGACGCCCCATCCAACCAGCACGCTGCTTCTACGTCCTCCGCTCTGGCTGCGCCGCACACCGTGCTGCCTCAGGCGGCTGCGCCGGCCCTTCCTTCCGCGGGGGGCGCTATTCCACCAGACGCCCCGCCTCGCCCGCTGCCTGGCTTCCTTGAGGCCTCTCCTCAAACCCTCAGAGCGACCTTCTAGGACCAGACTCTCTGAAACAGACCACGGAACCCCAACTCCACTACATTTCACGCCACCGTCATTTCCTGTTCTCTCCAACTACTTCATTTTTCTTCATAGCTCTTTTACTGCCTGATGTTCAATTACAAATTTATTTTTGTGTTTCCTTGCCTAGGTTTTGTCCTCCACCCACTTCATTTCCCTCACCACCACCCCCCACAGACGGACACACGCGCGCGCACACACACGCGCGCACACATATGAATGTAAGTCCCATGAAGACAAGGGCTCTTGTGTCTTTTAACCACCTATTCCTAGTAACTAAAAGAGTGCCTGTAATATAGTAGATGCTCAATTAAATATACTTTGATTGCATGAATATTACATGATTAAATGTTTCAAATTACAAAGAACTCAGACCTCCGGGATTTAAAAGTAGGTCTTTCTACTCTTTCAGATATTCTAGTAGAATCAAGTTTTGGTGGTAGTTTCAGAATGGAAAAGATTTCTATCTACCTTTCTGATGTCACTCGGATTCGCTCCTCACAACTACAATTCACATTTTCCATCTTCTCATGGAAGTATTTTTCCACACACTGCTCCTCAAAATCATGAAGTTTTTTCAGATCCTCCTTACTCAGGTAGAGTTCTATAGGAAGAAGTACGATACACAGAAAGAATCATTATTCGCCTCAGGGCATGAGTGGCTTTTCTTCCACTTGTATTGAAAATGAGAAACTGTAGCCTGTGTGATAAAAGTTTGTCACATTGTCAAACCATTTCTAATATTAATGCAGAAACAGCACCAAGAAACAACTGGAAGCCGGGCGCAGTGGCTCACGCCTGTAATCCCAACACTTTAGGAGGCTGGAGGGGCAGATTGCTTGAGCTCAGGAGCAGGAAACCAGCCTGGGTAACATAGGCAGGCCCTCTCTCTACAAAAAGTTTAAAAATTAGCCAGGTGCCTGTGGTCCCAGCTACGCAGGAAGCTGAGGAAGGAGAATGGCTTGAGCCTGGGAATTCGAGGCTGCAGGAGCCATGATCACGCCACTACCCTCCAGCCTGGGCTACAGAACGAGACCCTGTCTCAAAACAGGAAAAGAAGAAAGGCAACTGGAAACACCAGACTGGGTTTCTCCTACTTATTTTTGAAAATTACTCATATATAGAATACTTTCAATATTTTCACAAGTTAGAATGTTTTTACATATTAACAAAAATTCACTGCCTTTATATGAAAATGGGGAATCTGATTGTCTTCTTTTCTCTCTGCCAATACTTTCTAAAATTAATTAAATTTTAATTGATCCACATTAAAGGTACATATTTTCGAGATACCTGTGATAATTTGATACATTCATATAATCAAATCAGGGTAATTGGTGGCACAAACCTGTAGTCACAGCTACTCAGGAGGCTGAGGTGGGAGGATCACCTTAAATATTTGCCTGTCCTTTAAGATAGGAACATTCGAATTATTATCTTCTAGCTATTTTGAAATGTATAATCAATTAACTTTAACTGTAGTCAACCTACCGATGGCCTGGCACAGTGGCTCATGCCTGCAATCCTAGCACTTTGGGAGGCTGAGGCAGGTGGATCACTTGAGATCAGGAGTTCAAGACCAGCCTGGTCAACATGGTGAAACCCCATCTTTACTAAAAATATAAAAATTAGGGGTTTCCTCCTTGGCTTTGGAGCCCCCCTCCCTCTGTCTCTGTACAGGAGAGCTTCTTCCTTCTTACTTGCCTATTAAACTCTCTGATCTTTAAACACCCCTCCAAAAAAAATTAGCTGTGTGTGGTGGTGGGTGCCTGTAATCCCAGCTACTCTGGAGGCTGAGGTGGGAGAATTGTTTGAACCCAGGAGGCAGTGAGCCGAGATCGCTCCACTGCACTCTAGCCTGGGCAACAGAGTGAGACTCTATCTCAAAAAAGAACAACAAAAACCCTACTGATCTATCAAACACTAGGTCTTATTTCTTCTATCAAAGTGTATGTATTTGTGCTCATTAATCAACCTCTCTGCCAACTCTTTTAGCTATCAAAATGATAGTAAATAACCAATAGGTTTAAAGCAAGATTAGAAGAAAGTAAAGTCTGTTGAAATTCATCCAGTAAGTATAAAAAAGTTTTACCTTGTTACACTGAGTTTGTGTATACTAAGTCCTTCTACTGAAAAAGGAGATATTATTATTACCATTCAATGGCCAATCAAGGCAGTATACCTCCTCTGACACTACTATAACTAACTTATTAAAAAGACACACTACTAAGTGATATTATAAGGCTAATGCAATTCTCCGTCAAACTCCAGCATTCCCATTGGGTCTACCTCCTTGGCTTTCACTCTTGCCTAATAGAATAATATGTCATCTTTTAAGCAAGTTTATAATACTGAGAAAATATATAAATGAAATGATGCTGCTAAAAGGATTAAATTGGAAAGTTCTCTTTCTTGAATGGTTTTGCTTACATTACGAGAAAAAGAACACAGTTCTCCAGAATTTATTTAAAATGCAATTGTTACATTATTTTCTGATAAAATTAATGACAAAAAATCTCAATTTTAAATTGGAAACATGGGTAAAAGTGTAATTCTGCTGTAAAATGTATTCACAACTCAGGTAGATAGTGCTTTCCGATTTAAATGGCAGGAAAAAATTTTCGGACGTTGAAAATATTCGGTATCTCCCATGCCCTACCCAACTCTAATGTCTTCTTTCATTAAAGAATCTCCTCTGAGCAAGAAACTTTACAGGTGTCATGATGTGAGCCTTCTGTGGATCCCTGAGAGCAAACAATCCAGAGCGATTCCAGTGACAGGTGCAGCTTGCAGCATGTAGAGCTTTCCTGTAATTGTCCGCAAGGTGGCACTGCTGCGGCTTATGTAAATGTCTTTATCCTCAATATAAAGGATCAGAAGCAATGTTATGAAAATTCAAGAATGTTCCAAAAAGCTCAGGGTGAACTCACTTTAAACTTTACTTGAGTTTTATATGAAATCATCCTGCAAGCCCAGACCAAGGTGAACCTAGGAAACATTCTTTCATATGGTAGTAGGAAGTCTAGGCAAATCCTAGTCAATTCCAGGATTTATCAAGCGATTCATGCTCTGCTATTAGGTTGCAATGGTTCTGCAGCCAAAGCCTGGGACGTCTCTCTATTAGCAGTCTTAAATTTACAGTATAATTATAAAAGCTCAAGTTAACTTCAGTTATGCTTTGGCTTTCACACAAAGGCTGAATCTTTTGGTCGGGGAGTGGGGTATGAAAAAGAAAAAAAGGTTGGGTGTGGTGGTTCACGCCTGTAATCCCAGCACTTTAGGAGGCCAAGGTGGGAGGATCACCTGAGGTCGGGAGTTTGAGACCATCCCGACCAACATGGAGAAACCCCGTCTTTACTAAAAATACAAAAATTGCTGGGTGTGGTGGCGTATGCCTATAATCCCAGCTACTCAGGAGGCTGAGGCAGAATTGCTTGAACCTGGGAGGCAGAGGTTGCAGTGAGCTGAGATTGCACCATTGCACTCCAGCCAGGGCAACAAGAGCGAAACTCTGTCTCAAAAAAGAAAAAAAGAGAAAATCTTCAAAAATCTTCATAGTGACTCAGGAGGAGAAAAACTACTTGACAGAGCCAACTACCACCAGTAAAAGCATATCACCCTGTCAATCCCATAATATACTGACTCCTAAGGATCTACCTAAACACATAAATAGCCCACTGTCTCTTACCTGAAACTCCTAGAATCCAGAGTATTTTAGAATTCAGAATTATTCTCTTTTAGCTTCAGAGAGTTAATACAGTGAATACACCATAAATGAAGTGAAATCCCTAGTTAAGGTTAAAGCAATCCCTGAAATCAAACATATTGCTATTTTCTGCAGCAACATCAATGAATATTCATACTGCAAGAAATAAAATGAATAAATGGTTTCACATGAATTCTCATCAGCTTCTTTTGGCCAAATGGGTCTTTCCCCAATTTGTGAAGAAAAAGGACTTTCAGTTTTCAGAGGTATTTTAGATTTAGGAATTGGGATAAAGGATTGTGCATTTATGTCACCTGCTTCCCGTATTTCTGGGAACTATCTAGAAATGGGCCTGGTACCAACTGTGGAATTGCTTGACAGGAACTACAGAATATCTGAAAAACCACCAAAAGCAATGTTTTCTGACAACAATTAGTATGATAATCATATCCTGCAGATAAGATTTGGCTAGACAAGAGGAATTAGAAAAACCTCAAAATATATAGGCTAATGCTTTGAAAAAACACAAGTGAGAATCCCTATTTCTGCATCCTGACTTACAATGTTGCCCAGGCTGAAGTGGAGCAGCTGTTCACAAGCACCACGGCCTTAAACTTCTGAGCTCAAGCAGTTCTTGTGCCTCAGACTCCTGAGTAGCTGGGACTACAGGCATGCACCACCCACACCCAGTTTCTGAGTTGAAGTTCTTGAAAATAAGAAACATCCATTTCAGAATCACCATCATGTTCAGTAGATTAGAGAGCCAGAGGGCCGTGACTCTGGTTAATAAGTGAAGCCCAGCTTTGCTTATCTCTTCCCTTAGACCTCAGGCCTTCTGAAACTCCAATCTGTCTGAATTCCATCCTCCACCACATGGAGAACAGCACAAGTCACATGACTACCCTCTAGGAGTTATTCTGATGAGTTCTCCAGTCAGCAGAGAAAACACAGGTTTTCAATGTGACATAAAGCCTTTGTACAATCAAGCAGAGATTCTCTTCCTACCTATTCCTAAGTATCCGTTCATCCTGGCAAAAGACACTATGACCTCATAATGAGGTCAATATATTTACTTAGACCCGGGGCATCAGCTGATATTCTACTGTCAGAGAACTCCCAGAGCCTCCCAGTGCCCTGAACTGAATTTACATTGCTCCAGTGCATCTTTGCCTTGAATCACATAGAATGACTTACTTAATACAACGTCACCCTCTTCTTGGTCGTGAGGAGCTCGGCGACAGCACAGGCGGCGGAGGAGGAGGCCCATGTGGCTCAGCAGGATGAGAGGTGGGGGCAGCCAGGGCTTCTCGTGGTAGGTCATGATGTAGCGATAGCGGTTGTATTTCCACAGGTTATTTGAAATGGATTTCATATCTAAGTAAACATTGCTGTAAGATGCAGTAAGAGAGGGACAATGTTTTAATACGAAGTCTTGAAAGGAAACAGATTCTGTATTTTCCAACATTTATGATTGGTTCACCTGACGTTCCCAGCAGTTACCCAATACAGATATTCTTCTTCCACCAAACAAAATATATTAGCTACCTTCTACAATGAAACATGATAATCAGAATATCAAGCAAAAGGCAGACATTACAATCAGAGAATAGAAAATGCCAACATTTTCAGTGTAACGGATAGAAAATCCATTCTGGAACTCAACACTCTTCTCAAGTCACCATCTCTTCTCACATAGACGTTCTTTTTCAGTCCGTGATTCATCATTTATAGGAAACAGCTTTAATGTTCCTCTGTGTCATCTACCTAATGTCAAATGTGAGAACTGCTAGAATAATCCCAGTGAAAACACCCAAACAGAACAGTGTTAATGAATAAATGGAAGAAGAATCAATTCATCTTAAAATAAATCAAAAAGCAGAGCTTCTATTAAAATCCAGACAAATTATTCAGATTAACTTCACAATAAAAATAACTCCTTATTGGTAGGTCACTTTATAGTGGTAACATGGACACAGAATAGTAAATATTGACATTTAGAACTTGCCGGCCAAGTGCAGTGGCTCACGCCTGTAATCCCAGCACTTTGGGAGGCGGAGGCGGGTGGATCACCTGAGGTTGGAAGTTCGAGACCAGACTGATCAACATGGAGAAACCCCATCTCTACTAAAAATACAAAATGAGCTGGGCGTAGTGGCACATGCCTGTGATCCCAGCTACTTGGGAGGCTGAGGCAGGATAATCTCTTGAATCCAGGAGGTGGAGGTTGCGATGAGCTGAGATTGTGCCACTGCACTCCAGCTTAGGCAACAAGAGCGAAACTCCATCTCAAAAGAAAAAACAACTTGCCATAGGCGTAATGGTTGGGGGTACAGTTATTCTGAAACAACATATCATTCTTAACTACTTAACTTTACATAATACCATATAAGAGGAACACAATAAAATGTCCATCTTACTATTTTGCTTAGACTAACATAAAATTTAGTTTTCTTTTTAAAAAAATTCTTCTTCTTGCAGTGTGAAGATTTTAGTTTCTTTAGAGAAAGATAGCAGCGTAGAACTTGAGAAAGGTAGCCAAATTTAGCAAATAAAAACACAGACAACCCTAAACTTGAATAGTGATAAAGAAAACAATTATCCTAGAGAAAGCCATCTTTGGGTAAGAATAGAAGTTTCACAGAGTCCATACAGAAGGCAATTGAAGCATAGACAACTGGGTTATATCAGTAGCTCTCAAGCACGTTCTCTGAACCAGCAGCATCAGTATCACCGAACATGTTAGAAGTGCATATTTTGGGGCCCTGTTCAATGAGAGAGAAACTCTAGGGTTGGGCACACTATTAATAGTAGTTTCACTTGAACGTGACAACAGCTTTCCACCAGCAGATGGCGACCTTCACCGTGTATTTCAGTTTTGTTGTTTTTTGTTTGTTTTGTTTTTTATTTTATAAAGAATTATGTGTAACCGGGCTCCTGGACAAGTAGTCAGATCTGGGGTTGGTCAGTCTGTATGGTCTTCAGTGTGTTCATCTCTAACATGAGAAGTTTGTTCTATGCAAGGATTTCTCAACTTTTTCTTTTTTGACACTGGACATACTTTTATTTTATTTTATTTATTTTGCCAGGAGGCTCACAAAGAGGGCTTTATTTATCTAGCTCAAAGTACACACTATCACAATCTTGTTTGTTATTCCTTTTACAAAAATAGTTCAAATCAAGTTTTTAATCACACTATCAAAAAGTTCAATTTCTTTTTGTCTCTCCACATCAGAGTGGTTGAATAGAAGGTAGAAATGGAGAAATGGCCGGGCATGGTGGCTCACACCTGTAATTCCAGAGTTTTGGGAGGCTGAAGGGGGCAGATTACCTGCGGTCAGAAGTTCAAGACCAGCCTGGCCAACATGGTGAAACCCCATCTCTACAAAAATATGAAAAGTAATTGGGCATGATGGCAGATGCCTATAATCCCAGCTACTCAGGAGGCTGAGGCAGGAGAATCACTTGATCCCAGAAGGTGGAGGCTGCAGTGAGCCAAGATCACACTATTGCACGCCAGCCTGGGCAACTGAGCGAGACTCCATCTCAAAAAAAAAAAAAAAGGAAGAAACAGGCTGGGAGTCCACAGGATCCCAGCTATAAATGGTACCAGGGCAGGAAGGGGTGGCTCTGGGTCTCACTGTGGCACCTTCTACAGAAAATAGACATAGCTGTCGGGCCTGGGGACAGAAACCAGACGTTCCAGTCCATCTCCAAAAAGCAGCATAAATACCTCCCCCCAACAGTATAAAAAATATACACCTCTACTGCTGTGCAGTCATGCGTTTAGTTTTCTTTAAGAAAAAAAAAATCAGTAGTATGTATCTTGGTTCCTCAAGTTTCAGGAAAAAATACGAAAGGTCACTTTTTTCTCTTTCCACCTACAAAATGCAGGCAGCATGTTCTGCTGCTAGGACGGGCTCGGCTGCCTGGGCTGGGGTTAGAAAGGAGACCTCTGTATGTCACAAATGGAAACTGAAGCCAGCGTCAGTACCGCATCCAGCTTCAAGATCGAGAATCCGAGCCTTTGAAATGGAAAGGGAGCATCTGAAAGGGCACCCCCACCGGGGCCTTTCAGAATTAAGGTTTCAGAAGAAAGGGGTCGCCTTGATAGTGACAGAGCTGGGAGTCACCCTGAGCTGCAGCACCCCCCACCCCACCCCCTGCCGCCGCAGCCCACCCCAGGATTCCCCTGTGGGAGGCTCCAACAGACCCTCTCCAGCCCAAGGCTCTCTGCAACTGCCACCTGTACTCAAATATATGGAGTCGCTGCTGCTGGCTTTTGAAGTCAGCTATTATGATTGAGACATGACTGTCACTGACAGAGTTCTGTTCTAGAAAGCCATCCCAGTGCCGTGTTGGCTCAGGGGGCACCAGCTTTGTGCTGCCTCTGTAACAGGCAGGAGTGTTCTCAAAACAAAGTTCCACTGATCCCTGGATGCCACTGCGGCAGTAAGGACAGGGTCAGTCCCGTTGAGGGGAAAGGTGGCTTCAAGGGTATTCTCTGGGCTTTTTTGCAGGAGATCTGCAGGTACCAGGAGTCCGTATTTATTGCTTATTTCAGTGGTGGCCAAGCCAACCAGACCCAAACACGACTGACGCACACAGGCTTCCAGACTTGGCTCCCACTTGAAACAGACTCACACCTATTGGGCTGCTCTGCAGTTCTTTGGACCCCAAGACCCAGAAGGGCCTGTGCCCAGCTGCCCACCTGGGCAAGAATTACTGGATACCATGACCAGCAAGTGTTCACCCAACCTCAAGTGTACACCCCTAGTGACCAGGAGCACACCACCTTACCTGGCGACACTTTTTCCCAAAGAATCCAAAGAGCCTCTTGGTGACACCATAGCAGGAGCATCATGCCATCCCATCACCAGCACCCACTTACCCACCTGGGGCTAAGAGGGGGGGCATGAGCCTTTCCCTTGAGAGCAAATGAGCAATGAGACACTGGGCATTTTTAAGAAACAAAAATCTCAGACTACCAGCCTGGGCAACATGGTGAAACCCGTCTCTACAAAAAAAAACAAATTTAGCTGGGCATGGTGGCATGCACCTGTGTTCCCAGCTATTTGGGAGACTGAGCCAGGAGGATCACTTGAACTGCGGAGGTGGAGGTTGCGGTAAGCTGAGGTCACGCCACTCCACCACTCCTGTCTGAGTGACAGAGTGAGACCCTGTCTCCTCATATTCCCTCCCTGCCAAAATTTCAGACCCTTTTATTATTTGATATATTAAAAATAGCTGTTATAACTAAACACCAGCAAATGTTACACGTACCTAAAACAGTTGGGCTAAGAGAGATGACGACTATCATATAACAAGCAGGAAGGAATGTCTTCTCCACGTATAGGTAACAACACAGCAGTCACTTTTTTTTTTTTAAGAATTCTGATTTACTTTGCCTACCTCTCAACCCCTGTGTTCTCTACTTTCTTTAAGAATATTGCATAAATTGATTTTCCTTTATCTTTTTCTCTTCAGTAAGATAAGCAAGGAATAAAATACCTAGCACAGTGCCTGACATTTAAGAGGCATCTAGAAAATGCAAATTTCTTCCCATTACTTCACTTGGTTTCTTTTGTCTATGAAACAAATAGGTGTCAGGTACTCTTTTCAGTGTTTAAGATAAATTGCTTGCTTCTGAGCAAGACGAGAAGGGGTGAGGAAGTGGGGCTTGCTGGTGGTTGCAGGAAGAGCATTCTAGGCAGAGGAAATAGCAAGTGCAAAGGCACCAGTGTGGTCTGAAAAACTGAAGGGCCTGTGGTTGGACAGGAATGGGTCAGGGGAAGAGCAGTGTGAAGCACGATTTAAGAAGTGACGGCAGGTGTGGTGGTTCACGCCTGTAATCCCAGCATTTTGGGAGGCTGAAGTGGATGGATCACGAGGTCAGGAGTTCGAGACCAGCCTAGCCAATATGGTAAAACCCCATCTCTACTAAAAATACAAAAATTAGCCAGGCATGGTGGCGTGCGCCTGTAGTCCCAGCTACTTGGGAGGCTGAGGCAGAAGAATCGCATGAACCTGGGAGGCAGAGGTTGCAGTGGGCCGAGATCACACCACTGAACTCCAGCATGGGTGACAGAGTGAGACTCCATCTCAAAAAAAATGTGACAAGGGCTGGACGCGGTGGCTCACACCTGTAATCCCAGCACTCTGGGAGGCGGAGGCAGGTGGATCACCTGAGGTCAGGAGTTTGAGACCATCCTGGCCAAAAGAGTGAAACCCTGTCTCTATTAAAAACACAAAAATTAGCCAGGTGTGGTAGCGAGTGCCTGCAATCCCAGCTACTCGGGAGGCTGAGGCAGGAAAATTGCTTGAACCTGGGAGGCAGAGGTTGCAGTGAGCTGAGATCACGCCATTGCACTCCAGCCTGGGTGACAAGAGTGAAACTCTGTCTCAAAAAAAAAAAAAAAAGCAAAAAAAAAAAAAAAAAAAACTGACAGGAAAGTTAACTCACAAGGGGCTATATAAGTCATTGTAGCGACTTTAACTTTCATGCAGAAGTAAAATGGGAGGGATTGAAGAGTTTGGAGCAGAAGAGCAATAACCTCTGATGTCTGCTTTTAAAGGGCCATTTGAACTACTGTGTTGAAAAAAGAATACAGGGAGTCAAAGCCAGAAGATAGAGATAAATTAGAGGCTCTGTGGTAACAGTGGGGTAGTGAGAGGTATTTGAATCAGTTATCTACCTGAAGGTTGAGTCAACAACAGAGGTTCCTGAGAGTTTGGAGGTAGAGGTTCGAGAGATATTAAGAATAACTCCATGTACAGAATCATGGTGCGTAGTAAAGAAAAAGGAAGAAAGAATGACTCCTTGGTTTTTGGTGTAAACAACTGAAAAGATGGAACATCAACAAAAACTCATATTCTTCCTTGCAGATTTGGGAAAGACTACAAGTAGAATAAGAGTATGTTGGTTGGGAAAGAGTGGAGATTAAGAGTTTGGGCATTTTAATTTTAGAAATCTATTACATTTCTAACTGGTGAAGGAAGGGGCAGTTGGATCTCTATGGCTGGGGTTTAAGAAACAGAGCTGGGCTGGAGATATAAATTGTGTGTGCTCAGGATATAGAGGAAACTGAAAGAGATCACAAAAAGCATAAATAAAGGAAGAGGAAGGTAAGGGATCAGGGACATTCCAATGTTAAAAGGTTGGGGAGAAGATGATCCAGAACAGAAGACTGAGAAAAAGTGAGAAGTGACAGAGAAGAAAACAGAGGGCCAGGCACAGTGGCTCACTCCTGTAATCCCAGCACTTTGGGAGACTGAGGCGGGTGGATCACTTGAGGTCAGGAGTTCGAGACCAGCCTGTCCAACATGGTGAAACCCCAACTCTACTAAAAATACAAAAATTAGCCAGGCATGGTGGCAGGTGCCTGTAATCGCAGCTACTTGGGAGGCTGAGGCAGGAGAACTGCTCGAATCCAGGAGGCAGAGGTTGCAGTGAGCCAGGATGGAGCCACTGCACTCCAGCCTGGGTGACAGAGTGAGACTCCATCTCAAAAGAAAAAGAAAAGAAAAGGAAGGAGAGAGAGAGAAAGAAGGGAGGGAAGGAGGGAGGGAGGGAGGAAGAAAGGAAGCAGAGAAGAGGGAATGCTGGGATCAAGTGAAGAAAGCATATCAAGAACTCTGTAGCCAACTTGCAATTCCATCACCTGCTATCTTTTCTTTTCTTTTTTTTTGAGATGGAGTTTTGCTCTTGTTTCCCAGGCTGGAGTGCAATGGCATGATTTTAGCTCACTGCAACCTCCACCTCCCAGGTTCAAGCAATTCTCCTGCCTCACCCTTGTGAGTAGGTGGGATTACAGGCATGCATCACCATGTCCAGCTAATTTTGTATTTTTAGTAGAGACTTTTTAGTCTCCATTTTTAGATGAGGTTTCTCCATGTTGATCAGGCTGGTCTCGAACTCCTAACCTCAGGTAATCCGCCCGCCTTGGCCTCCCAAAATATTTGGATTACAGGTATGAGTCACCACGCCCAGCCTACTTGCTATCCTTTTATAATTCGAATTTACTGCCTAATCACAATTCAAGATCTCCTTTCACTTTGATGTATTACACTGTACTTTCCCTCCGTAGTCAGTCCTCCATATCCATGGGTTCTTCATCTGTGGATTCAAACAACCACAGATTAAAAATATTTGGGGAAAAGATAAGGACAATTGTGTCTGTACTGAAAATGCAGAGACTTTTTATCTTTGTCATTATTCTCTCAACAATACAGTGTAGCAACTATTTATATTGCATTTACACTATATTAGGTATTGTAGGGAATTTAGAGATGATTTAAAGTATACAGGAGGATGTATGTAGGTTATATGAAATACTACACCATTTTCTATAAGGGATTGGAGCATCCATAGAGTTTGGTATCCACAGGGGATCCTGGAACCAGCCCTCCACAGATACCGATGGATGACTGCATTTATTATTTCACTGTTTCCCATGCTCCGCTTCCTTCTTTCCAGTAGTTTTATGCCCTTATTTTAAAACAATAATAGTAAAACACAGGACACACAAAAACCAAAGGTTACATATTCAAAGTACATGTGAATCTAGTCAACATAGCTGCCCACATTTCTTATTTAAATAAAATAATCATATTTAATTGAAATCACCTACTTGAAGAAAGCAATCAACAGGTTCACCATGATGATATACTGCACAAAGAGGTAGACAGCTTGCAAGAATGGCGTAAGAAAAGAACCAGGAGGGCAGGATGGCTTGCTTGAACAAACTGCAAATAAAGAATTTTAAAAGAATCAGAGAGAAGATGAAGCACAGTACTGAGACTCTAGACAAACATTTAGCACATTAACTGCATAGAATACCATAAATTCAAACATTTTTAAGATTTAGATGACTGCTTTTCAGATTTATTTTACTCTTGTTAACTATGAAGGCACAATTTCTGCATGATGGCAAAATCCCATACACACCGTCTATGTGGTCAGCATAGACTTCTCCATATATCATCCAGTATGGCTGAAATATAATATCTCGAGCGAGGCTCCAAGATGGTGGCTCCTCTGGTGAAAGGATGGCCTTGCGTGCCACTCCAAAGCTCAGCAGGACTATGGCCATTATGATCACAATATAAAACATGTTTGCTGTCTGCAAAAGAGCATAGCACAACCAGAATTTTACCACAGATTTCATGTTCAAAAGAAACCAAACACCAGCAGCCATCATAATTATACCTGCAAATAATAAGATTGTGTAGACATTGACTAAAGCACACTTGTCCATGAACAGCTAGATTTTCTTTGGCTCAACTATTTTGTTTTCTCACACAGTATGCATTTCAAGTCAATGTGGTCCATGGAATAACAGAAATGTGCTGAGAGGAGAAAGTCTGTGCTTCTTTCTTTAAGCAGTAATGAAATGTGAACACTTTTTGATTAGCTAATATCCAGCTTTGCCCCCAGTTGGACCAGAAGTTAGGGAAATTTTTTTAAAAAGTGGAGGGGTATCGTTGAATTAGTCCAATGGCTCCTTATTCCCAGAATTGTCTTCAGGAATTGATTAGAGTCTAAGAAACTGATCAAGTCAGTTTAATTCCCTCTACTAAATGTGCCTCAACTCAATCCATTTGTTTACTGTAACAGAGAAAGTATTCACCACAATTCCCATCAGTATTTCAAGAGGTGCTCTATATCTCTTAGCTTCCCTTCCATTAGGCTGGGGCTATGAAACCTATTCTAGCCTGGACACTTCTTGTCCAGAGCAGTTAAAGGCTATTAGACTTTCTCTATCTCTCTCACTCCCTGTTATAGGAGAACTTAGGAGCCAAATCCCTGACAAAAGGGATTCCAGATCACTGAGTCACTGCATAGAGGTCACCCCCATGAGCACTCAGCAAACCTTGCATTAGGGAGAAACACCTCTGCGCTAAGTCACTGAAATACACTGGTTATCTCGGTATAGCCTATCTCATAAATGCTAATGCCACCAAGACAAGAGAAAACATTTCTGGCCTAAGGGAAAAATGTCAAATAGGAAAAATCTTTGGAGTCCTGGAGGTTGTCTCTTTTCTGTCCTCTTCCTTTGTTTGTTTTAGCACTACCTTCATTCTCCAGAATTTGCCCCTTCCCTGACAGTAAGTGTTCTAGAAGGAAAAGCCAAAGATGATCTTGAGACAGAGTACTTATTAAAGGGTAGGTCTTAGATCCTTGTGAATAGCCGGAGGGAAAACGCCAGCTGGGCTCAGTATCTCACGCCTGTAATCCCAGCACTTTAGGAGGCCAAAATGGGGTGGATCACTTGAGGTCAAGAGTTCAAGACCAGCCTGGCCAACACGGTGAAACCCTGCCTCTACTAAAAAATATAAAATTAGCCAGGCATGCCGGCAAGTGCCTATAGTCCCTACTATAGGCTACTCAGGAGGCTGAGGCAGGAGAATTGTTGAACCCTGGAGGTGGAGATTGCAGTGAGCAGAGATCATGCCACTGCACTCCAGCCTGGACAACAGAGCAAGACTCTGTCTCAAAAAAAAAAAAAGAAAGAAAGAAAAAGGAAAAAAGAAAAAGCTGACACAACTCTATGGCAAGCACAGATGACAGACTGGAGCTAGGTGGCCCACTTTTGAATCCTGGCTCCCCATATATGCCTTTGAGGAATTTACTTAACCTCCATTTCCCTGTATGTAAATGTGTATAACAATACTACCTATCTCCTAAAGTTGTTGCAAAGATTAAACGAGTTAATATATACTAAGTACCCAGAGCAGTGTATGGCCTATAAGCACAATTTAAGAGTGTGATGGTAGGGGAGAGTCAGTGAGTGATTTTAAAAGAATGGATATTTTAGCAGAAAATATCATTGTAGCTTCACATGAATCTGGTCCTCGGAAACTGCTGTGCTCAGAGACAAATTTGACTCAACCCCATACTATCTGGCCCTAGTCAAAAAGGTGAGCTGAGTGTCCCAATTAACTAACTGCAATATACTACCCAAGGTCATGTGTTAAAGACAAGTTTGTGGTTATATGGAAGGCAGTGGTGGCATGCTCTTACTCTCTGTGCTTCTATAAATAATTCCAAAATGGCCAGGCACAATGGCTCATGCCTGTAATCCCAGCACTTTGCAAGGCTGAGGCAGGAGGATTGTTTGAGCTCAGGAGTTTGAAACAAGCCTGGGCAACATAGTGAGACCCTGTCTATATAAATAGTAAAAAAGAATTAGCTCAGTACGATGGTGTGTGCCTGTGGTCCTAGCTACTCAGGAGGCTGAGGATTGCTTGAGCTTGGGAGGACAAGGCTACAGTGAGCTGTGATTGCACCACTGCACTCCAGCCTGGGTGACAGAGCGAGACCCTGTCTCAAATACCGATGATAATAATAATAATTCCAAAACTTAAACTATCTGATATAAACCATGAAAAACTATTGAAAAGAGGCCAGGTGTGGTGGTGCTTGGCTGTAGTCCCAGCTACTCAGGAGGCTGAGATGGGAGGATTCCTTGAGCCCAGCAGTTCAAATCTAGCCTGCACAACAGAGCATCTTTACAAAGAACACTAGAGTAACAGGTGACTATAGTTCATAATAATTAGCTGTACATTTAAATACAGCCAAAAGAGTATAAGTGGGTTGTTTGTAACACAAAGGATTAACGCTTGAGATGATGGATACCACATTTACCCTGAAGTGATTATTATGTATTGTATGGCTGTATCAAACTCACAAAAATTATTTTTAAATATTTTGTTAAAAAGAATACCAGGATATAAAACTAGTTGTACTCACCATTTTTGCAATCATGGTCACATATGGACCTGTATGTTGATTCACAGCAAAAAAGTCTAGGAGTCGTGAGAACCAGAATATGATGTCTATGCAGTAGATCAGTCTTCCCGCTGTGTGAAAAGGAGGGTCACCCCATCGAAGGACGAAGCCAGCTGAAAACAGGCCAATGGCCACAGTTTCTACTAAGTTCCAGTACTCACTAATCCATACCCTCACCTTTTGAGTAAACTTTCCAGGTTCTGAAATACAGATCTAAAAGAAGGAAGAAGGAAACTTAAAAAAAAGAGGTACAACCAAAGAATCTCATCAATGCAATCTTCTTAAACACACAAATCATTCATTTAAAGAGTAATCTAAACCCTGCCAAACCTTAAATCACTTGGGGATTTCAGAGACTGAAGTTATTATCATCAGTAATGAATTATTTAAGTAATGCTATAAAGATATAATTAATGCATCTGATAATGCTGGACTGTCACTTGCAAACCCAACTAGAAGTAAAAAAAAAAAAAAAAAAGTACTTTTTCTACCTTTCAACAAGCCTGAAATAGCATGGGGAAATGCCAAAGATATTTTAAAACTCAGTATTGCATTGGAACTCTATAACTATGATTTCATTTCAGGAGGCACAGCAGGGTGCAAAGAACACTGGATGGAGCAAAGAATCCTGTAATCCAGTCTGACTACTGCTAATAGTGAGTTGTTGACAAACTACTAAGAATGTGATATTGGACCGGGTGTGGTGGCTCATGCCTATAATCCCAACACTTTGGGAAGCCAAAGCGGGCAGATCACTTGAGGTCAGGAGTTCGAGACCAGCCTGGTCAACATGGTGAAACCCCATCTCCACCAAATATACAAAAATTAGCCAGGCGTGGTGGCAAGCACCTGTAATCCCAGCTACTTAGGAGGCTGAGGCAGGAGAATTGCTTGAACCTGGGAGAAGGAGGTTGCAGTGAGGCAAGATCTTGCCACTGTACTCCAGCCTGGGCAACAGAGCAAGACTCCATCTCAAATAAAAAAAAAGTTATATTGGAACTCACTAAGATAAGAAAATACCCCTGATACCTATGCATCAATCCTGCATGTTCTTCACATGCACCCCAGAACCTATAGTGCAATAAAATATAAATAAATAAATAAATAAATAAATAAGATAAAAAGAGAGAGAAAAAGAAAAAAAAAAATACCCCTGAAACACCATACCAGACAAACAGAAACGTAAAATAGTACATCTATTTTCCCTGAAGAATAAAAAAATGGTACAATTCAGATAACTGTTTATCTCCTGATTTATTTTCTATAATATATAAACTCCACATAGAAATTAGTAGACAACATAGGTATAATTACAAAGAATGTAAGTATATAATGTTGATTATATTACCTCTAGGACAAAATAAATATAGGTAAATACATAGACAGGAGACATACATCGACATCTAAAACAGTCTAAGTCATAAATATTTGTGTTTGCAGTTATAACTGATAGGAATGCTAATTTTTTTTGTTTGTTTTGTTTTTGAGACAGAGTCTCCCACTGTTGACCTGGCTGGAGTCCAGTGGCTCAATCTTAGCTCACTGCAACCTCCGCCTCCTGGGTTCAAGCAATTCTATCTCAGCCTCCCGAGTAACTGGGACTACAGGCACATGCCACCACGCCTGGCTAAGTTTTTGTATTTTTAGTAGAGACAGGGTTTCACCGTGTTAGCCAGGATGGTCTCAATCTCCTGACCTTGTGATCTTCCTGCCTTGGCCTCCCAAAGTGCTGGGATTACAGGCGTGAGCCGCCACACCCAGCCCCTTTTTAAAAGTAACTCATTACAAACTAGGAAATGTTAAAGTTTTGTTTTTTTGCTTCTTGGATTATTACTTGCCTCAGAGAGATTTCCAACTTCAGTTTTCAAAAGTGTTTGGTAGGAGTTTTCAAAAGCTATAAACACATTCCTTACAAATTGCACAACTTCAGCCATTCATGTGCCACTCATGAGATGAAATTGATAATATTAAAGTAATGCAAGGCAATAAAATTCAATCCCCACCTCAAAAAAAAAAAAAAAAAAAACACCTCAGGGAAATCAAATAGTTGGAGGGTTTAATACAATTCTAGGGGATGATCTATCCTTTAGGGCTGGTAAAGACATCAAGATATATGCTTCAAAGGTAATTGCTTCCAAATACACCCACCAGCAGAAAGCAGCTAACAAAGATAAAGGGCTGAAATCAAGGATTTTCCCCCAAATAACTTTCTTGCAGCATATAAGTCAAGGTCAGTGTTTCCTGTCTTCCCTGCCCTTGACATGTCCATTTTCATCACCAGAGCCAAGGACACTTTTACTGGACACCTACAGAAGCTGAGGACATCTGGAGAAGACAAAGCTAGATGGCACAACTCACCTCCCTGACCCTTTCAATAGCATTGGTGAAGATGTAAATGCTGACAAGCCACTCCTGCACGCTGGGCTGGGGTTGCATCTCCACCAACACGGTGTAAGTGAACAGCATGAGGAATGCCAAATACGCCATCTGTGAGGGGGACACACATTCCCCAGACATGAGTGAGGGCAAGCACGGAGGATGCCAAGCAGACGCAGACGGAGCAGAAACACAAGCTTGAACTTCAACACAATAATACAGACACAGAACTAGAACCACCTTTGGGTTATTAATGACCTAGTATCAAGGAAAGCACAATTCATGGTGTTCTAGTCCAGGATTTGGAGGCAGGAATGAAATCACTGTTCTCAGATCTCCTTCTCAGGTGGAAGGAGACACTGTATCGTTCCTGCTGGCTCCTGATTGGAATTTCCAGAACCCTGCATGTCCAACAGGGGCACTGTCAAACTAACAGCAAGCCCAGGAGAAGTCACGGGCCTTCCCCTGCATCTTAAACATAGAAAGGAAACATGAAACCCTGTCTCTACTAAAAAATACAAAAATTAGCTGGTTGTGGTGGTGGGTGCCTGTAATCCCAGCTACTGGGGAGGCTGAGACAGGAGAATCACTTGAACCCAGGAGGCAGAGGTTGCAGTGAGCCGAGATTGTACCACTGCACTCCAGCCTGAATGACATATCGAGACTCCATCTCAATAAAAAAAAAGAAAGAAAACGTGTGAAGCATGCCAGATACGCAGTGGCAATAGACGCTTATTTTCAAATACAAGGAACTGTGGCATTCACCACTGCTGGGAGTTTTATCTTATGTTGACTAAAATATTCTGTTTAAAAGAAAAGTTGTGTCCAACTGTGAGCCTTTTTAATTAGGGGCTGCCAATATTTATATCTTCAGCACTGAGCACTCTGCCTGACACGTGGTAGACATTCAATAAATGTCTAATTACTGTGCATATATATATGTATGTCTAGATTTCCATAGTCTTGAAAGAATTGAGACATAGTAATCACACACATAGATACTTAATGATTAATAGCTTTGTAATCTTATCAAATATTCTTATCTTCTTAAGATATATTACCAGAAGCAGAATATCTGTCCATGCACATTGAAAACTAACTATGATAAATATTACTAAATTTTCCATCAGGAAGACTTTACCAATTTACACTATATCAACTATGTATGAGACTACAGTCCTCTAAATAGCCTTCGAGACAACACACAGTGCTCACTGATCAATACCTACATTTAAAAACCTTGTATCCGCCGGGCACAGTGGCTCATGCCTGCAATCCCAGCCCTTTGGGAAACCGAGGCAGGTAGATCATCCGAGGTTAGGAGTTTGAGACCAGCCTGGCCAACATAGTGAAACTCCATCTCTACTAAAAATACAAAAAATTAGCTGGGCATAGTGGCATGTGCCTGTAATCCCAGCTACTCAGGAGGCTGAGGCATGAGAATCTCTTGAACCAAGAAGGCTGAGGTTGCAGTGAGCCAAGATCACACCACTGCACTCCAGCCTGGGTGACAGGGCAAGGCTCCATTTTGAAAAATAAAAATAAAAATCAGTTGAAAGAAAAATGTGCGTGTGTGTGTGTTCATGGGTCAGAAAAATCATATTTTAACTTTGATCCCTATTTCTCATATACTTTTATCTACCTAAATGGATAAGTCTGCTTCTAACTTTAGTTCTGCACAGATAACACAGAGAATGGTTTAAACCATTTCTGACTATATAAGAATGGTATTATTGATAATAGGTGGTTTTTTTGGGTGGTCATAATGGGTATCGTGCCTATGATTTAAGCAGGTGTAGAAGAGAAGCACATAAGAAAGTAAAGGTAAATTTCAACAATTCTATACTTCTCTTGGTCTATGTCTCAAAGTCTGAGTATTTTTGATGGCTCTCAGGGACATACTTTAATTTGTTCTATCAAGCATTTAAATTTTTTTGTCATTGGTTTCAGCATGGCTAAACAATTGAGTCCTTAACTTTTACTCTGAGATTCAGGCCTTCACCCATTTATCTGTACATCTTCTATTATTTGTATTTTGTTATTCCCTTATACTGATTCCTTATATACATGCATAAATGGTCTCCTCTATACAACTGCAAGCTGCTTGAGATCAGCATTGATGTTTGGCAATGTCTTCTTCTCACTTCCCCCTCTGCTGCCTAATATACTGTTTTTTGTTTTTTGTTGTTTTTTTTTTTTTTTTAGACAGGGTTTTTGCTCTTGTTGCCCAGGCTGGAGTGCAATGGCACAATCTTGGCTCACTGCAAGCTCCACCTCCTGGGTTCAAGTGATTCTCCTGCCTCAGCCTCCCGAGTAGCTGGGATTACAGGCATGTGCCACCAAGCCTGGCTAATTTTGTATTTTTTAGTAGAGATGGGGTTTCTCCATGTTGGTCAGGCTAGCCTCGAACTCCTGACTTCAGGTGATACACCTGCCTCAACCTCCCAAAGTACTGGGATTACAGGCGTGAGCCACTGCACCAGGACAGTATACTATGCCTTAAAGACAGCCGTCAGCGCTTAGTAAAATCCAACTGAATGACCTGAACTTTAGGTTACCCTCAGCCATAACTTTCTTTTTAACACGTATAGTGTATGACTACATGAATCTGGAATATCTATAAGCAAAAGACTACAAACATATTTAATAAGTAGATATTCAGATTGAGAAAGTAGCACAGTTCCTCTACTTGAGAACAGGTTGGGTTCCTAAAGGCTATGTTAAGTCCATTTACTTATTAGTCCAAAGTGGCATTACACAAAGATACAAGCAACCAAAGTACTCACATCTAGGAAAAATGACACACTAAACACTCTGGACATCGGCAATATTGCTTCTGACTCTTTTTGTTTCTTTCCAATTATTAAAAACACCACGGTGGGCAGATCTGACTGGTTCTGTGCTCTTGCTTAGCTTTGTTTCTGTTCCTTAAAGCTCATGAGCTAGAAATTTCCAGGGGAAGAAATGTCCAAATATGCTTTTCCCGATGGTGTGAGAATGGTTAAAACCCTCCCAGTGCTCATCCCAGAGTCTTTCGTAGACATTGTTGCACATTCACAAAAATGGTAATTCCTCATTGTTTGAAAGCAGATGTGATTTTTGGAAACAGATAAAAATCATACACAGCTATGTAATTATTCAGTAAGTATAGGAGATAAGTGTGTGGCTAGCCAGGTAAATATTTGGAAATACAACACATTTAGATAAATTTCCTTTCATAGTCATATTTCAAATGTTTTAGACATACAAACTGTTGCCATGAGCTATTTAAGTATAGATAAGCATTAGAAAAATAAATGCCATGGGGGCGCATGTTCTCGGGATCTCCTGAGGGCATGTCACAGAAAAAATATATATATTAGAAAAGAAATAAAGAGGCCGGGCGCAGTGGCTGATGCCTGTAATCCCAGAACTTTGGGAGGCCAAGGCAGGTGGATCATGAGGTCAAGAGATTGAGACCATTGTGGCCAACGTGGTGAAACCCAGCCTCTACTAAAAAAATACAAAAATTAGCTGGGTGTGGTGGTACATGCCTGTAGTCCCAGCTACTAGGGAGGCTGAGGCAGGAGAATCACTTGAGCCGAGATTGCGCCACTGCATTACAGCCTGAGCAGCAGAGTGAGACTCTGTCTCAAAAAAAAAAAAAAAAAAAAGGAAGAAAGAAAAAGAAAAGAAAAATTCGATGAAACAAATGTGAAAAGCACTCAACACATCCAAAGCACAGTTCATGCTTTCTCTATTGCTCTATTATCCATAATAGATTTAGTATTTGTTCACACAGTTCAGCTTCTAAAATTTTTCATTTTCTTTATATATTTATAAGCATATATTACTGAAGGCAAAAAAACAAACATTTACATCATTTTTTTAATCTATATAACACATTCCTACAAAGGAAAAGCTGATTCAATTGCTGATTTTCTAAGAATAATCCAACCACCTATTGCTTAATTCAACAAACAAAGCTATTTGTAAGGCTGGTTGCCTTGCCAGGAGCTCGGACACGCCCATCCCTCTCCACACCTGAAAATTACATTACCACTCAGCATCCAGCTTCACCACGCCCACCTCTGCACTCAGCACCTAGCCCACCGTTGGAAATCCCCTCTGCACTCAGCACCAGGATCTGCACTGGACACTAAACTCTGCACTTGGCACCTAGCCACCTAGCCATCCGTTGGAAAACCCCGCCAAAATTTAAAAGAAGCCCCGCCAAAACCTGCCCAATAGCGCATTGCCCCGTCCAGCTCGCTCACCAGAAATCCCGCCTACCTACCTATAGCAGCTTGCCACGTCCACATCCTGTTTCTCCACAGCCAATCAGAGCGCCTTCCCTCCCCATATAACCGCACGCCTGAAAGGAGTCAGGTGGGACTCCTCTGGCACCCTTTCCCTGGACCTTAGAACCTTTCCCGGGAGCTGAATAAAGTGACATCTAATTGTTCTCATGCAGGCCTCAGTTTCCTCATTTTAAACTTGGCAATAAACCTTACAGAGAATAAACCTTACACTATTAATTTTGTTGTCCCACCAATCTGGGAAGGCTCAGTCTCCCTTCAAATGATGAAATTTTACCACTTTTGTGAATGTGCAACCACATATTTGAGGAACTCTGATACGAACGCCGAGAGAGTTTTAACCACAGTCACGCTGTTAAGAAAAAAATATTCCAGTGTTTCTTTCCAGGGAAATTTCTAGCTCAGGGGTTTTTAGAGACAGGAGCAAAGGTAAGAATAGGGCAAAGCCAGCCAGATCTTCCCAAAATAACAATGCTAATTCTTAGCACTCAAAGAGAGAAGAAAATGCTTGTTCTTGAACTCCCAAAGTAAGAGAGCTCCATCCTAACCTCTCCCGTTTTTCCTCCATGCTACCTACTTTGTCATGCCCTCACTTTTTTAAAACTAGGTTTCTACATCTTTATTGAAAAGTGGCAAAGCAGGCAAATTATCAACATCATCACTAGCTATCAACCATCATTAATCCGACATATGTTGTTGTAATGAAACCAACCGTGTAAAACCAAAACTTGACAATTGGAGCATTGTAGAACTCATAGACTTTCCTGGTCCATGGAAGGTTTGGGGGCCCACTTTCAAAATCAAAATGCTGATTTTCATCCAGTTTCTCATCATGACCTCTTTCCAAATCATACTCTTTCTGTAAAATAAACAAATAATCATTTTCTTGTCAGCAGCTTAACCAAAATAGTGACAAGCATGAATGCCCAAAAAATATCATAAATAATATATTAGAAATTGGCCAGGTGCAGTGCTTCACGTCTGTAATCCCAGCACTTAGGGAGGCCAACGCAGGCAAATCACCTGAGGTCAGGAGTTCAAGACCAGCCTGGCCAACATGGTGAAACACTGTCTCTACTAAAACTACAAAAATTAGCAGGGCGTAGTGGTGGGTGCCTGTAATCCCAGTTACTTGGGAGGCTGAGACAGGAGAATCACTTGAACCTGGGAGACGGAGGTAGCAGTGAGCCGAGATCATGTCACTGCACTCCAGCCTGGGCAATGGAAGGAGACTCTGCCTCACAAAAAAAAAAATAAATAAAAAAAAATAAAAAAATTAATTGGGCACTCACATGCCAAATTATAATGTTACCTTTGAAGGGAGAGAAAACTACTGCATGTATTTATAAATTATTGGCCAGGTAAAGAGCATGAGGTATTTCTGAAAAGCAAGCTGACTCTCTAGTAATCAAACCCAAAGTAAGAGTACTTCGAAGAATTTAAAATTGGTCCCTGTTCCCAATCTCCCTTTTTTTTTTTGAGATGGAGTCTCACTCTTGTCACCCAGACTGGAGTGCAATGGCGCTGTCTTGGTTCACTGCAACCTCCCCCTTTCAGGTTCAAGGGATTCTCATACCTCAGCCTCCTGAGTATCTGGGATTACAAGCACCCACCACCACGCCTGGCTAATTTTTATGTGTTTTTAATTTTTGAACCTAAGAATACTCATAAAAACCCAGTGAAATCAGTAACAAACAATACAATTATTTCCTTAACACATAAGAACAAAATGAGCACGCATTGATGAAAGCTGACCATTCCCTGTCATAGGAAATTTAGGCACTGCATTAGTTTTAGGATTCTGACCTTCAATAGCTTCCCCACTGATTCATAGCAGAGGGTCTGTTTGCCTGCAGTCACGCGCTCCCTGAGCTTCTAGGGTTCCTTGAAGACCCTGCAACTATGTGCAAGTATTTGTGTTGTACATGCATTTTTCTGGGGAAAGAATCAGATCTTTCATCAACTTCCCAAAAGATATGTATCAGTCCAAAGGAATTAACTCAAATAGAGAAACAGCAATGAATAAATGTCTGGCAGAGCAGGAGTTGCCAGAATGTGACTACCCAAACACCTACGCAGAATGAGCTTTCAAAAGAGGAAGGAAAAGAAATGAAAAAAAGCACTTATAGCCTGGGTACCTTTGAGAAGCAGCAATATAAGGGTAGCGAAATGGAGGCAAAAGTGATCTCACTTTCCTGTATGGATATCTATTCAGTTTTAGTTTTTTAATAAAAAACACAGGTACTTTTTAATTTTTTAAAGTAATATTGAAAGAAAAAAAAGAAACATTCTCTGCTGCCTCTCAAACTAGTCCAGTTTTGCAACCTAGCCACAAAATTTATCTCTATAATGTCAGATCTGCAAGATGAGCAGAATTTTTCAAGCCAAGGAATTAATCAAATTTTGCTTGAATTGTCCATATAACTGCAGAAAAATGTGATATTTAAGGCCTTGGGCATCTAGATGGGTTATCGTCAGTGCCTGATTAATTATTCAGTCATTTATTTCACTTAGGGAAGTGGGGTTGGGATTGTGACTTAGAAATGTAGGAATTGGCCCAATTTCTAGCAGGTGTGAACTAGCCTAGAATTAAAATGGCATAAAACCAATTAGAAAAGTCATCATTTATGAGCTGTTAATGATATCAATATCACATTAGAAAGACCCCAGAAAGCAATTTAAGTAATGACTTTATTATTAAATAACTTCTCTTATTATTTTTCTAGGAGTGTGTCATTAGCTCTTAATTGCTTTTGACAGTTTGGAGCAGATTATAAAGTGCTGATCGGGCCTGTCCCTGAGTTGAAAAGATACAAATTGCTATGACAAAGACAACCTGAGAATATAAATTCAGATTCAGACCTTTTTTTTTTTTAACTGAGAAGAAGGTAAAGACAAAAACGCTTGGCTTGAGTAACTTTTATTATACATATATACAGCTCCTCTTACCCCCCACACCCCCAGCCACCCCATACTCTTTTTCTCTCTAATTGTAATCTAATACCAGCAGGTACACAAATTAAAATTACGACAACAATAAGTCTACTATAATCCATATCTGTTTTCCATTGTATTACAGTTGTCTTTCCTACTTGATGCTCTGATAAAATAGATTTTGTTATACAACTTTCTTAGCACTATTTCATTGTGATTTGTCAACCTCAGACTGAGCGCATCTTTCCCCTTCTGAACCCACTCCCTCTCCAGTTATCCTTGTGTCCCTTCAAGATGGCCTTGTTTAAAAGACCCTATCTGTCTCTTCCTCTCCACGTCCATTGCTACTGACCTGGTTAAAGGACTTGTTGCTTCTCATCTGGATGGCTACCCTGGCCTATGTTCCCCCTGCTTCTGGCCAGTCTTCTTGACAAACCATCCTATGTCCTGGAGGCAGAATAATTTCTCTAACAGATTATCTCTCTACTCTGGCATACACATTCAACAGCTCTCCATAACCTACAGAATAAAAATCATACTCCTTCATAGGATATACAAGAGTCTACTTGATCTAGCCCCAATTTACTTTTCCAGCCATTCCTGAAAATACTCCCAGCTTGTCCATAATCCCCATAACCTAGATACCAGCCAAACCATACCACTTGCAATGCCTTACATATGCCTTGCCATTTCCCACCTACATGGCCCTACTTATAGTCTCCTTCCCACTGACATGCTATTTTCCCTCTCCGCATCCCTAAGTGAAGCTCAAACACCATCTCAATCATAAAACTGTCATCAACCCCTAATCCTCATCTACTGACCTCTAATGAGAAGAGTCTTCTTCTACTGTTGGTTAACCCATTCTGCCATCTTACTATAATTTAGTCCTAAGAAAGTTCATGTCATCAAAGGTCATGTTTTCAAAAGGTTATCAGCTAAAAAGATCTAAGTTTCACATGGCAAAGTTATTCTGCCTGTAGAAATTTCAATAAGGAGATTTATAAACCTCAGTCAGCAAATGCAGTATTTGATACTATACAGCTTCAGCTCAAGAATAATGGCTTTCCTTCTCCAATTACCAGAAGTGCCTCCTCTATATTCACTGTCACCCACTATTACCATAAGAACACAACACAGTGACACTAAAGAGCATCTATGTATCATCTGCCTGCAGTTTCCTACAATATATAGTGCAAATTATGTTCCTCAACTAATAAATTGCATTTACTTAATTAGTGTTATGAAATCTTATCTATCCCACCAAAAGTGCTGCCTCTACCCCTTTCACCCTGCCTAGCAAAATTCTAAAAACATAGCGGCTTACTAATAATTACTGCCTAAGTTAAATTCAAAGGCAAAAGAAAGATTGTTGCTATGATTATAAGCCCTTCATAATAAACAGACTTGAAACATTTTCAATACAATTGTTCATTGTTTTAATTGAAGAATGGGGAGAAATTGTGGATATTCTGTCTGATTATAAGCCCCACAGTGGAAGAGGCCACATCTGCCTAATTAATGCAGTGTCACAGAAGCTCTAGCACACATAAAGTGGACACTAAAGAGTCACTGAATTCATAAATTGGTATATGGCTATGTACAAACCATGCAGGTGGGCAACTGCTATAAACAGGACTACTATATCACAGCCAAAATTTAATTTTTCAGGGAACTGTGAGAACTTACTATATTTTTAATGTTAATAGCATACTTAATTGCCATTCAGGGCTGCAATTCTTTCTCTAAAGTGTCCCCTTTAAGAATGACTGCATAGTGGAATGGCCTACAAGGGATTCGATGTTTGTGAGTTTAGCCTTTTAGGAAACCTGTGGGAGCCGAAAAAAGAGTTATATCCACTTGCAAAGTACTATTTGCTACCATGTGTAGAAAATTGCCAACAGATTTACTTATTCCTTTGTAGATAGGATAGACAGCATTTTTCATTGTTTATTTCAACAATGAACTTAATGTGAACAGCTTAGTAAGCATAAAGCCAAACAAAGCCGAGCACAGTGGCTCACGCTGTAATCTCAGCACTTTGGAAGGCCAAAGCAGGAGGATCACCTGAAGTCAGGAGTTAGAGACCAGCCTGGCCAACACGGCAAAACCCTGTCTCTACTAAAAATGCAAGACTTAGCCGGCATCATGGCAGGCACCTGTAGTCCCAGCTACTCAGGAGGCTGAGGCTGGAGAATCACTTAAACCCAGGAGGCAGAGGTTGCAGTGAGCCGAGATCACCTCACTTCACTTCAGCCTGGGCAACGGAGCAGGACTCTGTCTCAAAAAACAAAACAAGACAAAACAAAAAGCCAAACCAAATATTTCACATATGAGCATTTCACTCTATTTCTAAAGGAGTCAGATCAACACTACCTTTCTTCTCTTCCCTTAGAAAAGTTTTAAAATTGTTTCAACTCAGCAACTGTAGCATCTAACCCAAAAAATCACAACTGTAACAACTTGACAAGCCCAGCTTTGCAAGGGGTAACTTCTCACACACTCTATGGGGTAGAATGTCCCCTCAGAACTGAGAAGGGAACGGACAAAAGGGGAGGGAGGGGAGGGGAGGAGGGGAAGGGGAGGGGAGGGGAGGAGAGGGGAGGGGAGAGGGGAGGGGACGGGAGGAGAGGAGAGGAGGGAGGGAGGAAGGGAAGGGAGGAGGTAGGGAGGGATAGGGGAGGGAGGGAGGGAAGAGGAGAGAAACACTTACATGCCCAAATAGGGGTTATAGTTAACAAAACATTTAACAATTGATCTAGCAGAGGCATTGACCAACGAGAATGGATGCTCCGCTGGTGACAACAGATACTAGCCATAAAAAATTAATTGTAATTGATTAGTTTTCAATTAATACTTACCAAATATGTTTTTAAATATTATAACAAATAAAAATACAAAAGCACATCTGACAAGATGTTAGGTAAAGATGTTTCATTGAAGTATTAAATGCCAGGGAAGATGTTTACTATACTTGGCATTTAGACAACCTCATAAGCAATGATCCAAGTTGAGGCATAAAAAGCAAAGAACATATTCACAGCATACCAGACATTTTGCAGAGGAGATGGGCCGCAAGAGAAGTAGCACAAGTTACCCGGGAAAGACTGCACACCTAGGACTCAAGTAAAACTATCCACAGCCTCTGGCTATAACAAATGAAAGGATCTGTGGGGTGGAACAGTGAAGATCAACACAAATTCTTAACCTGCATGGTTCTAAATAAAGATATGAGAAATTCCTCACTGTAGCTTTAGAGATGTAGAAGTTTATTTATTCTACTAGTTACAAAGGAAAATGAAAAGTTACATAGTTGTCAAGATATAATAAAGTCTTTGATTTTGGCTATGAAGTAGAAATAGGATATTTTGCTTAACTGTATATGGGGGTTAATTAGGTCTACTGTACATAGTATACCTGACCATCCCATAATAGGATTAAAATTATGCAAGAGAACTAAATGCTTGATTGATTAGTCAGATGCATTTTAAAATAATGTATAACCCCAACATCATCTGTCATCACTGGCCTGAAATAGAGGCAACATAACTTTTGTTTAACAGATGGCTACGTAAGTAAACTTTAAGGATATGTGTATGTTTGTGTGCAGTCAATACAATGAAAATTCAGTTCATTATGATTTTGCACTAACCACAGAAGGACTTTCTTTGGAACTGCTGGCATTCTGGTCACTGTAATACCACATAAATTGGAAGTCCTGGGACTGGGGAACATGTGACATCTCAGCTTTGCTTTTAAATTCCAAGGTCAAAATGGTGGGGGGTAAAATAATGCTTATAATGATCTGTAAAAGAGAAAAAAAGCAAAACAAAGTAGTAGGGACTACAAAAGCACATAGCAGACAAATAACAAAATTAATAATTTAAGTGTATATAAACTGCCAGGCCATCCCAGTTCAATTTTCATCCCTATTCTATAAATAACTTTTTGACTCAGCCACTTCAGTTCTAATGTCTCCCTCAGAAATATTAATGAGTACAAGCATTTGTGGATAAGAATGTTTATTGCAGGACTATTTGTAAAAGGAAACACTGGTGTCAACTTAAATGTCTATGTAGAGAGGGACAGCTGGTCTGGAATAACCTAATAGTGGAATACTGTGCAACCATTAAAAAGACAAAGGCAATGTTGAATACAATGAAAAGACAGCCACACTATATTGCTAAGTGAAACAAATCAAATTACCATTATTCCTTGATATACAAGGGGGGATTGGTGTCAGGACACCCCCAAACCCCGACCCCAAGAATACCAAAATCTGAGGCTGCTCAAGTTCCTGATATGAAATGGTGTTGTATTTGCATATAACCTACACACATCCTACCTTATACTTTAAACCATCTCTAGATGACTTATAATACCTAATACAATGTAAATACTATATAAATAGTTGTTCTACTGTATTGGTTTTTTATTTGTATAACTTTTATTGTTGTATTATTATTTATTTGGGGATGTTTTTCCAAATATTTTTTTTAATCTGAGATTGATTCAATCTGCAGATGTGGAACCCATGGATAAGAAGAACCAATTGTATAGAAGAACATAGAATAACCCCATTTTTGTAAAAAATAAAATTAAAAATCTTATCTAATTATATGTTATACATATGCATTTAAAAGTTTAAAAATATGTATACTACATTGTTATTATTTACCTCTAAGAGTAACAGGACAGGGCAGTGACAAGTATTATTTTTCAATGAGCACACTGCTTTAATAATTTTTTTAAAGCTATTAAGCAGATATTACCACATAAAACACATTAAAATTTGTCAATATTATAAAATCAAGAATCTAAAAGCATGCCATCACCTTCTGTTAGATCCATCTCCCATCCCACACGTATCTTTTCTCTATTTGTAAAACCCAAGGGAGGTATAGATCCAGACATCTACAATATTTTCATTATATTGCTACTGTTCATGAATTACTAGCAGACTTTTCAAAAAAGATTTTTAAGGTCAATTTGTATGGCCTTTCGAGGTAAAGAGTTTAGAAGATTTACTAAATGCCCTGATATCAACTTGATAAACAAACAAAAAAAAAAGAAATAGTCACTTATTCCCTCAAAAAAAAAGAAAGAAAGAAACCACACACACACACACACACACACACACACACACACACACACACACGGTGAGTAGAACAACAGAAGTTATTAATTTTATTTAGTTTATTATCTATTAGTATTCTTTTTTTTTTTTTTTTTTTTTGAGACGGAATTTCACTCATGTTACCCAGGCTGGAGTGCAATGGCGCGATCTCGGCTCACCGCAACCTCCGCCTCCTGGGTTCAGGCAATTCTCCTGCCTCAGCCTCCTGAGTCGCTGGGATTACAGGCACGTGCCACCATGCCCAGCTAATTTTTTGTATTTTTAGTAGAGACGGGGTTTCACCATGTTGACCAGGATGGTCTCGATCTCTTGACCTCGTGATCCACCCGCCTCGGCCTCCCAAAGTGCTGGGATTACAGGCTTGAGCCACTACGCCCGGCCTAGTATTCTTACACTGAGAAAAAATTTCACTAAAAAGTCTCATTTATTTTTGTTGTAATTATTACAGGCAATAGCAACTAATAATAATGAAATCTTCCCTATGTTTGTCTATGCTTCTAACTTCTTCTACCCACCCCTTACCTTTGTGGTGGAGAGGGCAGGTACAATTATACCCATTTTCAAAAGGATACTGTGGCCATGGGAGACAAAAGTCATTTTTACAGATTCCTCTGGGAAGACCCCAGATCATCTGTGTGAATCAAAGATATGAACTGGGATGTAAGGACAATCTGGCTATGACATTTGTCACCCTGTTGATTGCCAGGGTTGAGTCTGCTGATCTGGCTGGCCAGGTGGGTGTCCTTTTCCTCCCTCGCCCGGTTGCTCTATGTGAATCCCTCCCGAAGCTGCTAGGTGGAAGAAGACGACTATCCCCAATAGAAGAGCACGATCTTTGGTCAAGGGTATACAAGAAGCTGCGCTCCCCTGCTGAACCTCCAAACAAGCTCTCAAAGATATTAACTAATTTTCCTGAAGACACACTTCTGGAACAAAATGTAACTCGAGTACAGAATTTTATACCAAACTAAATTAAATTCCATAAGGGAAGTAAAGTAAACTTACCTTAAACCAAGAGTTTTTCCTCATTTTTAGGCGCCCCATCCACATGTCCGTCAGTAGCTTTTGGGTACAAGTATGTGAAACAAAGGGTCGTAATCCTCCTGACACGGCCAGTTTCAGGCAGGTCGAATGGCTCCAGTTCCTGAGTTCGTAGGTCAGCAGTGTCATGGCCATGCGCTCATTCTGCTTGAATGCTGTCTCCAGCAGGTCCAGAGCCAGCTGGCCAAACTGCCTGCCATGACGGTGGCAAATGAAGAAAACAAAGGCAGGTGAGAGAGCTGCATTCGCATTACTGGAAACATTTTAGAACATTTAGAAACACTGATTGTATATTGTGTGACCTGAGATGAAAAAACAAAACAAAACAAAAAAATTAAAAAAAAAAAAAGAAGAAACACTGACTGTAAGGGATTGGATGTGAGGCTCAGAAAACATCAATCCATAAGGCTCTCTTTAAAAAAAAAAAAAAAGCCAGTAACTTAATAATCTCAGTTTCCAGAAACTATTTGAAAGGAAATACTGCTCAGGAAAGGGATTTTTCTCCCTTTCCTGAAGGAACAGGACTAGGAGGTTTACATTGTAGCATACAGAATTTAATTCACACCCGAGCTATTCATGGGGAATAGCCCCTCTACACTGTTGGACATAACTTGGTTTGGGACTTAAATACAGGCTTATACATAGCTTGGTTTGGGACTTCCTGAAAAGACCAAATAAAGTTGTTTGTTTTGGACAAAAAAGACTGTTCAGAACCCAATCAGCAAGTAAGGAAAGCTGTGGAGCCATTTTTCTTTTTTTAAGATTTTATAAAACATCTACATGAGTTAAGAAAGCTACAGACCTAGACCTGGAGAAACCCTCATGTGATTTTCCAGGAGAATGTTTTCTCTGAAAGGTAAACATTGTCATTCTTTGGAATTTGGTTTTTTGGTAGAGACAGGGTCTTTCTATGTTGCCCAGGCTGGTCTTGAACCCCTGGCCTCAATCAATCCTCCCACCTTGGTGCCCCAAAGTGCTGAGATTACAGGTGTGAGCCACTGCTCCCAGCTGGGAATTTTTAAATCAAAATTATAAATTAGTTTCCATTGATTCTAGCTTCCATTCTTTCTTCACTACTATAACACTTTAGTAACTTTAAAACCAAAAGGATTTTTAACTTTTCTGTTTTCCACCATTACTCTCTGGTTCTTTAATACAATGCATTTATTTGTTTTCCCACCTGAGAGATACTTAATGAAAACAATGTCTTAATTTAATGTAACATCAAAGAGGATGAGAGTTAGGGGGAGCTTTCAAAATTATTAATTGAAAGTTTCATAGTCAGGAAACTAAAGCCCCGAAATCTTGTCAACTGACTTGTCTAATTAGTCAACAGCTGGACTAGAACCCAATTCCCCTGACTTGAAGGCCACCTCTCTTTCTTTCCTTTACTTCACAAAGCTCCGTAGAATACTTGAGGACCCTTTCAATAGGAGAGCCCATAAAATGCATGGCAATAAGTCCATTTGTCCCACAAGTTTAAAGATGAGAGAGATAAAAATGTCTAACCATTCTAAAAAGTGTCGATGTTTAGTATGAAGTGAAGAGAGAACACTTACTTTGAGTAATTCTTCAACTCTTCTGAGGCATCATCCACCATGTGACTCTCCTTAGCCTCATGGGCCATTGCCCGGTAGAGAATACACGCAATCACTGCTTTCACCGTGGCCTCCTCTCCATGCTGCCAGAAGAACATGGCCATCTTCTGCCTTTTCATCAGCACGGCCCAAACCAGCAGGTCATTGTAAGGGTAAATAAAGTCAGTAGACTCAGGGTCATCTGATACATTTTGTTCTTTTGACTTCTTCCTTGATTTATGAAGGACTACAGACTTTTCCTGTTGGAAAATAAAATAGGAATGAGTTTTCAAGTACTCAGATGCACGATGTTTTACCAAATTCAACACAGCAGGTATCCTAGAGATATTTTTTTAATCAGTGCTAGAAAAGAGATAGAAACAGTAAGATTTTTATAAGCCAGTAAGCAAAATTTAGACCATAAAAGGTCACCTATTTCTTGTTGCACTTAACAGATCCAGAGTCCCTAAACTGATATATCTTAAGGTCATTTAGCACAACTCAAAGCAGTACCTCTTTAGGATATACCCAGAGTGCTTAACTGAATTTGAAAAGTGGATGGGTAGGGGGAGATATAACAATGTCTGAGAAATGGTGCCATCTTCCTCAAAATAATAACATTGTGCAGTAAGATGAGCACCGAAATAATAGAGACTCTATGACAATTTTTAATTTCTTAAGGGGTGAAAATAACATTGGATAAATGAGAATGATATATTTTTTTAAATCTCTAACCTCACTTAGCAGATAGATTCATTATCTTCCCTTTGGGAAAACATCCCTAGTGTAGCCAACATGTATTCAATAGATTGATTTGAAGTTTCTTTTCCTTTATATTTATCAGCAAAGGTAATAGGTGACCATGAAATGCCATTCTCCACCTGATAAATCCCCATGCACTTCTATATCACTTTGTGTGTCTCTATCTCTGGGCCCATCATACCACAGTAGTTACTACTCTGAGGAAGATGAGACCATTTCTCAGACAGCATTATATCCTCCTCTACCTACCCACCTTCCAAGTTCAACAAATCATTCAGTTTAATGCCTGGCAAATACTAAAGATTCAATAGTTACTCTTTTTAATTTGAGAGGTCATAGTGAAACATTGTAATTTGCTTCCTCTCTTTCTATAAATAAAAGGAATTCATGTTCATTGATGATGACCAAGGGTAATTTTATAAAATACCTCTTTCGTACCAGGAGCAATGGAAAGCAAACCTCTTTCAGCTAACATAATAACCATTTGCATGGAAATTCTTGAGCAAAAGCATTTATTCTCAAAGGAAATTGGGACTGGAGGAGTATGGGACAAGGAGGTATAACAGTGTTATACACACACATACATACACGTCATCATCATACTGTAATATTAGGCTTATATTAATTTCAAGAAAACCTCAAAAAGAAAAAGAGAAAAAAAAAAGATGAAAAAGGTCAGTGCAAGCGAAAAGTGAAGGAAAAGAAGGAAGCAGCCCTCACATCCACCTGGCCTTAGGGAACAGGACCTAAGAGTACGGTGCTGGGTTAATGATCACGGTTTTTAGGCACCATCCCATAGACTGCCTGACTGAGTCACTGTCTAGACAGAGCAGAGATAGCAGCAAGGAAGACAGGCTAAAGTGCAAGCACAGAGAATCACTGTGGCTTTGCTCACTGTTGTTAGTGGACAGCTGTGTTATGCTTTTGACTTGCACCATTTGTTTATGGCACTTAGAAATGGTCCCTCTATTTGCACCTCCCTTTCTTTGATGTAAATGAAGAAACAGTCTCGAGGAGCAAAAACCATTTTCCTTTCAAGTCTAAAAACAAGTAAATAGTACCTTGAATTTGTATGGCTGTGCAGTTCTAATGAACTGAGAGTGCAACGTACTTTCTGCAGATTCATTTCTGTTTTCTGAGGAGCGTCTCCGGTGCTGGGAAGGGTTTTGAACAGAGCTGGTCACTCTCTGGCACATGTTATTATTTTATTTTAAAAATAAGACAAAAGGAAGGGAGACGATTATACTGGTTTATTTCTAGACAATAATGAAAACCAAATATAATGTTGTGTCCTACCAAATATCCATGCCTCTGTCTCTCATCCATGATTAGCACCCAACAAGAGCCTCTAATGATCTCCCTCTCCTTGTGCATTTTGTGAGTTCCTAACATCTGAGACAATACACTCTTTTGCTCCCTATTATACAACTGCATTCCTTCACTACATGGAAATTCCATTAGAATGAATGGATGTTCTCTACCTGGAACAAGTTCAGAATAGGCAATAAAGATTTACAGGTCTGATAAGAAAAAAATTCCCATCACAAGCAGCTCTAAGTTTAAGTCAGAGAGTTATGGAATTTCTCAGGTATTATGTAATATCTCCACTGGAACCCCAGTGGCGAGGCCCAGAACAACACAACTCACTGACATTAGCATGAGGTTTTCATCAATGAGAAACAAAAACAAAAGGGACTAACATAAAATATGATAAAACCCATAGGCTTTGTTTTTTAAATTTCATTTATTAATTTCTTTTTTTATTTACATCCCATTTTCTGTGGATATTAATTTATATTTTTAGAAACTGGGTCTCACTGTGTTGCCCAGGTTGGCCCCAAATTCCTGGGCTCAAGCAATTCCCCTGCCTCAGCCTCCCAAAGTCCTGGGATTACAGGCATGAGCCACCATGCCCAACCGAAACCACAGCCTTTGAACTGCTTTATTTAAGTTTTTGTTTTGTTGATAAAAATTAAACATAGAAATGATGAGGTGAAGACTTTTTAAAGGTAATACCCAAATTATTATTACTATTGTAATATAGAATTAACAGTGTCATTACAGTAATTATCATAATGACCATTGTTACTAACAAATACTCTACACCCTCTATGTACCAGGAAAACGGATTTTTTAAATATATTATTTTATTTAATCCTTCTGACAAATTTATAAAAGGGGCATTACAATTCCCATGTACAGTTGAAGAAACATGCACAGACAAGTTAAGTTTACTGTTCAAGATTACACAGCTACTCATGAGCAAAACTAGGATGCAATCCCAGCCAGATCTCCCTGACTCCAAAATCATGTGCTTGTAACTACTACAGTCTAGTTGAATATGACACACAATAAACTCTGCACTCCACTGTTAGACAAAGAAATGCGTGAGTTCATACTGGCAGGCCATTTAAAGAAAGGGCACTAAGGAAACTTCCCTAGCAAGCTCCACAGGGGGCTGCACCAAGGCCACAGTCAGCCTTCCTTCTTGCCACTGGGAACCTCACAGCAAAGTCTATTCTGTTTAAATGAAGTAGCTGCTACCTCCGAAAGTGTATCCTTATGCCTTTGAAATCTTAGTAAAGAACATTTTTCTGTGTCAGATTGGGTTTCCTGTTTTGTTTCTTCATTTCTGAAAGCCAAGCTTGGCTTTCAGGTCACTTGACTCTTTATAAATGTTCCCATGTAGCTTGATATTCTAGGCTGTTTATGGGATCTGACCCCAAACTGTCTTTCCAGTCTCCTCCCTTAAAAGCATATGACATGGCCAGGCGTGGTGGCTCATGCCTGTAATCCCAGAACTCTGGGAGGCTGAGATGGGCGAATCATGAGGTCGAGATTGAAACCAGCCTGGCCAACATGGTGAAACCCCGTCTCTACTAAAAATACAAAAATTAGTTGGGCGTAATGGCGAGCACCTGTAGTCCCAGCTACTCGGGAGGCTGAGGCAGGAGAATTGCTTGAACCTGGGAGGCGGAGGTTGCAGTGAGCAGAGATCGTGCCACTGCACTCCAGACTGGCGACAGAGCAAGACTCCATCTCAAAAAAAAAAAAAAAAAAAAAAAATGACTCCCATTCTCCAACAAAAAAGGTCTTGTCACTGCGAAACATATCGGAATATCCAAAGGCTGTGGCCTTTACTGCTCCTTCTCTTATCTCAACAAAAATACCCAAAACTAAATTTTCTATCCTCCCCTCATCTTCTAATAAGAATTAGTCTCTATAATGGCAATTTCAAGAAATAGGCAATGTTTCCTCTGCTAACTACTAACCAACAATTCTAATTTGACATTCGTAGACTCTCAAAACTATAATGGAAAATACAATACGTATCACTTGTATTTTTAAGGACATTCTACATGCATCTGTCAACATAATTACTACATGCTCATACCAACTTTGTTATCTCCAGGCTATAGGCCATGATGAGTTTACATATCTAATCTGATTAAGCTTCTGATACCAGTATTTTCAGAAGAAAAAGAAAGAAAATAAAATAAAAAAGAATTGGTCATCTCTGCCTCTAAACTGCCTCATCACATTACTTCTAGGTCATTATAGCATTTATTATGCACTGTTTTGTATTATGGCTAATTATTCATAAATCTGTTTCTTCAAAGAGTTTCTAAACTTCTGAACCTTGCGCATCCCAAGCCAACACTGCAACACGTAGGACAGTACTTCACATACAGCAGATAACAAATGTCCATAAATAACATGCTGTTTCAGGAGCTATTTTCATCTGAACTTCCCAAGCTATTTTTCTAGAACGACAATTTCGAATTACTCTTAATCTTACTTGGGCACTTTTCAATTACTCTACCTTATGTTTTCTGTAGAGGTTGTTGTAGAGGGCTCTGAAATGTTTTCTAGTGTAGCTGCTGCGATATGCTCTACCAATGAGGTATTCTACTACCAATCCAATGTCAATCAAGGTTATTCGGTAGCCGGATAGAAGAGTATGCTGCAACAAAAACATGCAATGACTTTTAACTTTTAGTTGACTTCTTCCATTTCTCTTACCATGCCATTAGAATATAATCAAATTAGTTGCAAAGAGCTAGACACACCTTTTAAATATCTTTACAAGCTGATCAATTTAAATGACTAGCCATTGATATAATCTGCTAGTTCAGAAGGAAAAATATCTTGGCCTTACTACATTTTTTCATTTCATAGACATTAAATGTGTGCTTACATCTATGCGTGCTCTCTCTCATTCTCCTAATCATGCACACAAACACATAAACACACACATTTGAGTAAAATACATTTAAATATTGCTTTTATTCCATATTGGGTTCCTAAATGGAAGCAAGAGAAAAATATTAAACAAGTAGAAAAAAACAAACAAATATGTATATAGAGTTTTTAACTAAAAATAATATAGCTACTCCAACAGAAGTAAAATCATAAGGTATATACTGAATGTGTGCGATCCAAAATTAACATTGGGTTAGTTTTTCAGCTTCTCTTTGTTGAAATGGATATAACATTTTGTAGTGTGTTGACTACATCAGATGTAAAACAAGAAAATGGAAGGAAGTAGAACAAAAACAAGGACTGTAGAATGACAGAGTCAAATTCGGTATCAGAACATGAGGCTCATGCCACCAGGGTCTTCCTTGAAGTGAACTTAATCCAGGATAGAGAGTATAGTGTTTTCTATATTTCAGAGCATATTTGGTGGTCTTTGTATCTATAATCCACTCTTCCTATGGTCCAAAATCCCACAGGATATATCACAAGGGTATTGAAGTTGTCAGCTTTCATGTCTATTTTCCTTTACAGGCTACGTGGAAGGGTCTGTCCTTCTCTACCCAGCGTTTAGCATATGACTTAGCACTTGGCCAAGCTGAGTAACTATATGCAGGCATACCTTAGAGATACCGTGGATGCAGGCGGGACCACCACAATAAGGGGAATATTGCAATAAAGCAAAACAAATAAAACCATAAGGCTGTGCCAAGACAAGTGTTGTGGCTGGTTGGCAGGAGGGCTGAGTGGCAAATTCCCAAGTATGTGGGTCTTAGTCTAAATGAAAATTATTTTGACTCCTTAAATTGCACTTTACTACCTCTTCATAACTGTTCACTTTTGAACTATTTATTCATAGTAAATTGTTAAAGGCACACAGAGTGTTGAAAAAGGTCTCTGAAATGAAGATTGTGACTAATGTTCACAAAGCATGGAACAAGAAATAAGGTTGTATATGTATGAATGTAAATAATTTAATTTTTCTTTTTCACATTCATAATTTACCTTTTTCAAGGAATGGCCAAAGTAATGCTCTTATTGCTCCTAGTTAGAACATATTTAACCTAATTCATTGCTTTTTTTTCAGTTTACTGTGGCAGAGTTTAAGAAAAAAATTAAAGATATCATTTTCATATTGCATAAATCAATACAAACTAAATTTACATGGACACTTTTGTTTACTGCTAATTTGCCAAGGAATAGGACACCCATAATCTCAACACTTTGGGAGGCTGAGGCAGGTGGATCACCTAAAGTTAGGAGTTCAAGACCAGTCTGGCCAACATGATGAAACCCCATCTCTACCAAAAATACAAAAAATTAGCTGGGCATGGTGGCACACACATGCAATCCCAGCTACTCAGGAGACTGAAGCAGGAGAACGTCTTGAACCAGGGAGGCAGAGGTTGCAGTGAGCTGAGATCACGCTATTGCACTCCAGCCTGGGCAACAAGAGCAAAACCCATCTCAAAAAAAAAAAAAAAAAAAAAAAATTCCCTTCACTCTGGCTCTTCTGCCACATCAACATAACCTGAAAGCTCACTTTCCTTCTAAAAAGATAATAAAACTTTGGGCCAGGCACCGTGGCTCACACCTGTAATCTCAGCACTTGGGAAGGCAGAGCCACGTGGATCACCTGAGGTCAGGAATTCAAGACCAGCCTGGCCAACATGGTGAAATCCCATCTCTACTAAATATACAAAAATTAGCCAGGCGTGGTGGCGGGTGCCTGTAATCTCAGCTACATGAGAAGCTGAGGCAGAAGAATCACTTGAACCTGGGAGGCAGAGGTTGCAGCAAGCCGAGATCACACCACTGCACTCTCCAGCCTGGGTAACAGAGCGAGACTCCATCTAAAAAAAAAAAAAAAAAGAATAAAAAAGATACCAAACTTCAAACTTCAAAAAAATAAGAAATTTTTAAAATGTGCCTTATGTGGATTTTAACCATAGTGACAAATAAAAAGTACTCCCAGTTTTCAGGGGATGTGGATAGAAGTCATTGGTAATTAAAAATTTTTTCTTTTTTACATTTTTTTTTTTCTTTTTTCTGCTGTGAAGAATATGAAAGTCACTGGTAACTAAAAGAGAAAAAACTGCCGGGGGCGGTGGCTCAAGCCTGTAATCCCAGCACTTTGGGAGGCCGAGGCGGGTGGATCACAAGGTCAAGAGATCGAGACCATCCCGGTCAACATGGTGAAACCCTGTCTCTACTAAAAATACAAAAAAATTAGCTGGGCATGGTGGCATGTGCCTGTAATCCCAGCTACTCAGGAGGCTGAGGCAGGAGAATTGCCTGAGCCCAGGAGGCAGAGGTTGCGGTGAGCCGAGATTGTGCCATTGCACTCCAGCCTGGGTAACAAGAGTGAAACTCCGTCTCAAAAAAAAAATAAAAAAAAAAGGAGAGAGAGAAAAAAACTGAGGTATAAAAGCTTGTTAAAGTTGGAAGGTCTTGGTAACTAACGAGGGATCAAATAATTTTATTTTAGGTTTGACCTAACGCATAGTTCAGTGAGAACACCATGAGCAAAACATGAGCAAGGGTATAGAACGGGGAGGGAGCCACTTGTCTGCCTAGAACAATGCTGACACACAGACTCACAGAAGCAACAAGACAGCACCAGAACTGTCACTGATATCCTAAACAATAATAGCAAAAAAAATGGAAATTACGTATTAGTCCTCCAATAAAGATAACATAACCACAGAGTTCTTTATTTCCAGCTGGTATCATCATCATAGGCACCACCATTGTACCATGTTAAGCTGAAGTTCTGATTAGAAGCATTGCATTTCTCTGATTCACGGCTTTTCATTAGCTAATATCACCTAACTGGTGGATCAAGTCTTTTAAAACATAAAGTAAAATTAAGAAAAAAAGTGTAAGAGTGTGGTTTGTTGATGAAATTATTCAGATCACAGGTAAAGAAGACAGGTAATTAACCAAACAATCCAAATCTGCATTTTACAAAACAAAATTTAGTGACTCCTCCAACGCAAAGCTAAGCCAATGTACAAAGATACATTCACACCTTCTTAATTAGGTTACCTGTTTCACATCTTGGACGAGATGATGCAACAGTGTATTAGTAGGTCCTTGTTTCTGTAATAAAGAACAAAAGGAAGAATTATTCTCTTGAATTACCATGTGCTGGGGGTAAAATCTTTACTTCAGAATACATAAGTAACCCAGGATACTGAAAATTTTGTTCAATACTTTTAGTAATGAAACTTAAGCCAATTAATTCTAAACAAGGTGTTTTCCAAGAGAAGATGCAATTATATGAAATATTTTTCAAAGCAAGATGCAAATATGTAGATAGTAAGACTTTATGTGATAAGAGACAGAAATGAATCCTAGGTAATTTATTACTATCCTTTATCATACAATTACAAATCCTATCACATGAGCACATTTCATCAACAGATATTTATTGAATACTTATTATGTTCAATCAGGGATTCAATGACAAATATAAGCACTATTTTCCTGGAGTGTTTATAATTATAGATAAGAGTGGCCGGCTACTTACACTAAAAAATAACCAACAATACGTGTGGGTTCAAAAAGAGTTACCAATGTATGCTAGGAACAAATTACTGTGAACTAACTACAGTAATCAAGAAGACAATACATGAATAAATCGTTGAAGAAAGAATAATATTTAAAGGACAAGAAAGGCTATTTCAAGAAGTGTTCATGGCGTGAGCAATTGGTGTTTTCACAGTGCGTGAGCCAGGCTAGTTTCAAAAGGGTTTACATGGGAAAGGTACAGGAACAGTATTTTAATAGTGGCCTTAGGTTGAGATACTTCTAATAACTCAATAAAAAGCAATTTGTTCTAATTCACATTTTAGTTTTTATATTTTTACTAGGATAAAATACAATTGATAAGAATGTTTCTCCTTTGGTTGAAAAGTCTGTGTATCTATAAACTATCTTTGTAAAAGAACATACAAGGAGATAAATAAGACTAAGCTGATCAATAAATAATTACTGGGCAAGGTGTCAGAGCCCTGGCAATGGAAAGTTACTAGTTTACAGGTAGTAAGAAGAATTTACTGACAACAGTATAGGTTTTGAATAAGAAAAGTTTTATTAGAAAGAAAGAATGCTGGAGAAGAGTAGAGCAGGGTGCTTCAGTAAGAGAGAACTGAGCTCACAGTGGTGGATTTTCCTCAGGAGTATTTATAGACCTTAAAGCAGGAGCTTAAGGGTAATTTGAACCACATTAGCCACGTGGGTCATAATAAATGATCGAATTTGTAGACATTCTGGTGTCTTAATGTCAGGAAGATTCCACAATCAGTTTTAACATGCATACATTTTAAAGCTGTATAGAAATTCTAGTTACTTATAAACGTTGAGGAAAGAAGCCTGGAACTAGATCCCAGCTTTAGATAATAGGGAAGTCTAATTACTTCTAAATTTCTCAGATAAGGAGTTTTGCCTCTGTATGGTCTGCTTGATGATCTTTGCTATTCTCGAATCTGAAGGGAAATGACTGATGAAATGTTCCATACTCACTGTATTGTAGAGCTCTTCCAGTCGAGGGATGGTAAGAAAGCGATGGAGGTTCACTCCATATTCTATTAAGAGCTTCACAAAATCCACTCTATCCATCACTAAAGCATCTAACATTGCTTGTTCCAGGGCACCAGGCTTTAGAAAGTATAAATAAGAAATATAAACACAATTAAGAAAGTAGAAATAACTAAAGAATTACATGTTTTTTAACTCAAAATGACACAGACATAATAATTTTAAAATAAAGTCCTGCCATCAGTGGGTACAGGAAAAAAAGAACAAAAAAAAACTTTAAATACAGTCTAACTAGGCCAGCCACAGTGGCTCACACCTGTAATCCTAGCACTCTTGCAGGCCGAGGCAGGCAAATTGTTTGAGCTCAGGTGCTCCAGACCAGCCTCAGCAACATGGCAAAACCCCATCTCTACAAAAAATACGAAAATTAGCCAGGCACAGTGGCATGCACCTATGGTCCCAGCTAATTGGGAGGCTGAGGTGGGAGGATCAATTTAGCCCAGGAGGTCAAGGCTGCAGTGAATACTCCATGAATACTCCACTACACTCCAGCCTGAGCAACAGGACGGGATCCTGTCTTAGATAGACGATAGAGAGACAGACAGATAGATAGATAGATAGATAGATAGATAGATAGATAGATACATAGATAGATACATAGACAGACAGATAGATAGTCTTACTAAGAAATGTGTAGGATTTAAGTGAAGACATCTTGAATAAACAAAAAAAAAAAATCCTATGTACATGGATGGGAAAACTTGTGGGTAATCCCCCATATAGGCACCGAGGAAGGATAGCTAAGCAGAACCCTGGCACCCTACATATATATATATGATATCTTAGTTCATAATTGGAGGAGTGCCTAAGTAGGCACAGTACAGGGCATTAATTAGGGAATAAGCAGCTTATAATCGGAGGAATGCCTAGAGCAGACACAGTGCAGAGCATGATTTAAGAGAAAAACGGTTATACCGGGACAAGAATCCATGGCCCAGGCGGCAGCATTCAGTATCGTAAAGATACCCACTGTATGGCAGGCTTCGGGCGAGAGCCACTCCTCCTAATAAAGGAGTTGTAGGATCTTGCTCCAGTTCTTGTGGAAGGCTGCCCTCAGACCGGTAATCGCACCTTGGTGACTGTGAACTTTATCAGCTCTTGTTACCGTGCTGCTGGAAAAGCATTCCCCTATATAACTCATTGGAAGCTGCCTGCAGGTGGCGTTGACTCTGACAGCTCTGTCACTGCTATGTGACTTAAAGCATCCTCCTATAAATCTTAGTAGCTTGCCCATACATAGACGTATTGTACACTATACCCTCTTCACTGCACACAGCCCACCTCCATGCCTCGGTGACCTTAATGGGGGTGGATCCCTTACTGCACACAGCCCTTGCCTTGATGACCTAATGGGAATGGACCCCTTGTTGTGCACTGTCCACCTCCCAGCCTAGGTGACCTAATGGGGGTGGACTCCTTGTTTTATTGCTCGCGACCCTATCACTATCCTTAAAGATTACTTCACTCACTGCCCTGCCCCCTAACCTATACACAATAAATACTCACACTTCTGGACATTCGGGGCCTCGCCTGACTCCACTCATAGGTGGCATAGTCCCTGAGCCTAGCTGCATTTTCCTTACACTTCTGTGTCTTGTCTCTTTATTTCTCGGATCCTGCACCTCAGCACAGCATAAGGGACACCCCACTACCCTGTAGGCCATCAGCCCTACAAAAACTGATTATTGTAAAGATCTCAAAGATTCCCAAATGAATGTACAGGCTTAATGCAATTCTGATAGAAATTCAAGGTTTTTTTCTTCTTCTCTTTGTTTTTGTTACTTGCCATGTTTCCATTTAAACTCTACCTGGCTTCTGGGTACAAATGGCAAATTGAACACACTCATCTAGTTTTTCTCCCACTCAAAACTTCATTAAAACTATACAAAGGGATTTTTGTTAAGAAATAAATCTACAGGGACAACGAGAACAAGAGAGGAGACAAGAATGCAACACTTTGGAAGCTGGAAAGCAGATGGTCAAATCCGAATTGACTTAGCAGTCCCCAGAAAGCCAAATCGTTGAAGTGGAAAATGTCAGGAGGGAGATTCATCCTACAGAATTCCAACAGCAACAAAATCAATGTATACATGCCTAATCCCTTATGTTGGGTTCTTTCCTGGTATCTTTCCCCTTTGATTCCCATAATACTAGCAACAAGGCTTATATGTTCCAGTCAGGGAATCAGAGCATTCTTTTCTGTTAATGTCACCAATACAAGATAAATGACATGAATATGGTGGTATCTGGGGATCCCTGAACTCATGACAGCCAGATCACCCTACTGTGAAACTCAAACCTCTAGGCAAGTTCCAACTGCAGGCTTGGCATTTCTGAAGAGTTTTTTTATCCCCTACCTTTATCCTCAAAATGGCAAAAGAAGATATTGTATTCTGGGCTGGGCGCAGTGGCTCACACCTGAAATCCCAGCACTTTGGGAGGCAAAGTGGGGCAGATCACCTGAGGTCAGGAGTTTGAAAGCAGCCTGGCCAACATGGTGAAATTCCATCTCTACTAAAAATACAAAAATTAGCTGGGTATGGTGCCAGGAACCTGTAATCCCAGCTACTTGGGAAGCTGAGGCAGGAGAATTGCTTGAATCTGGGAGGTAGAAGTTGCAATGAACCAAGATTGTGCCACTGCACTCCAGCCTGGGCCACAGAGCAAGACTCCATCTCAAAAAAAAAAAAAAAAAAAAAAAAAAAAAAAAAAGAAGAAGATATTAGATTCTGGATACTAATGAAAAAGATGTGGAAGGGCACAATCAGGGAGCAAATTTGCTCTCACAAATTAATAGACTGCCAGGCACAGAGAGACAAACTTACATGTGTTCACTCATTTGTGGGAGCTGAAAATTAAACAATTGAATTTATGGAGACAGAGAGCAGAAGGATGGTTACCAGAGGCTGGGAAGAGTAGCGAAGGGGGTAACGGGGATAATTCATGAGTACCAAAAAATAGAAAGAATGAATAAGACCTAGTATCTGATAGCACAACAGAATGACTGTAGTCAATACTAATTTAATTGTACATTTAAAATAATTAAAGATTATAATTTGATTGTTTGTAACACAAAAGATAAAGGCTTGGGGGGATGGTACCTCTTTTACCTTGATGTGATTATTACACACTGTATGCTGGTATCAAAATATCACTGATACCCCATAAATACATACGCCCATGTACCCACAAAAAATAAAAACTAAAAAAAAGAAGAAATTAGTAGACTCATATAATGCTACCAGAAAAGAAAAGCTTCATAGAATGCTTGAAAATTAAAGTCGAGGCCAGCTGTAGTGGCTCAGCCTGTAATCCCAGCACTTTGGGAGGCTGAGGCAAGTGGATTGCTTGAGCCATGGAGTTCGAGACCAGCCTGGTCAACATGGCAAACCCTCTTCTAAAAATACAAAAATTGGCCTGGCGTGGTGGCACATGCCTGTGGTCCCAGCTATTCAGGAGGTTGAGGTGGGAGGACTGCTTATGCGTGGGAGGCAGAGGTTGCCTTGAGCCAAGATCACTGCATTCCAGCCTGGGTGACAGAGTAAGACCCTATCTCAAAATTTAGTTATTTAATTAAAATTTAAAAAATAAATTCAAGCAAAGCTGCAAAAGAAAAGATAGGGAACATGGGAGGAAAAAGATAAGAATAGTAAAGGAGCAGTCCATAAGGTCCAATACTCAAATAGCAGGAATTACAAAAGAGAACAAAGGGTAGTGTTATGGAATGGAATGGAATGGAACACAATTAAAACATATGATTGCCAAGTTGAAATCATGTGCCCAACAAAATGGACACACAGACTGACCACAACACACATCATAACACTGGAAAAGAAAGATTTTTTTTTAACTTTCAGAGAGGAAAAAAAAATGGTGACCAAGAATCTGAAAACAAAAAAAGTGTTTACTTCTCAATAGTGATCCTGGGTGCTGGAAGCTACGCATTCAAATTTCTGTAGAAAAATTAGTTTCAATCATGAATTAAAATATAGCCAAACACATAAGTCCTCAAAATATCTATCTCTCATATTCCCTTTCTCAGGAACTTACTGAAAGATGTGCACCATCAAAATAAATGAGTAAATGAAGAAAGAGGAAGATGGGGACATAGAAGACTTGCCCTCTAACCCGGGAAAGAGGCAAGGGAGTCCACAGATGATGAGGGCGCATCTGCATCCAGGATGACAGCTGCACACCAGGAGGAGAAGGCAACCAGTCCACATTGCAGCCATAAGGCCCAAAAGACAGAAGTGCTGGAAAACTTCCAAAACTCATGAACCAAAATACAGCAATATGACATTATTTAGATGTATGGAAACTTGCTGGGTGTGGTGGCTCATGCCTGCAATCCCAGCACTTTGGGAGGCCAAGGCGGGTGGATCACAAGGTCAGGAGTTCGAGATCAGCCTGGCCAATATGGTGAGACACCGTCTGTACTAAAAATACAAATATTAGCTGGGCGTGGTGGTGGGTGCCTGTAGTCCCAGCTACTTGGGAGGCTAAGGCAGGAGAATCACCTGAAACCTGGAGGCGGAGGTTGCAGTGAGCCGAGATGGTGCCACTGCACTCCAGCCTGGGTGACAGAGCGAGACTCAGTTTAAAAACAAAAACAAAAAAAAAAAAAAGAAAAGAAAGAAAGAAATATGGAGATTATAAGTGTTAGAACAATCAAAAACATCTTAAATACTAGCTCTTGTGAAATTAGCAGGGCAGAGAACTACCATCTTTTTAAATTGCCTTTTAATATCATTTGATATTTTAAACAATGTGCATGTATTAGCTTGACCCAAAAATAATACACATGTATTATGGCCACAACTGTAATTTTTTAAATGAAATGTTAATAGTGATTATCATCAGCATTATGGATAATCTTTCTTCTCTTTTATGTTTTCACTGATTTCTAATGTAAGCACTTACTTTCTTTTAAAGCAAAAGTAAGCTTTGAGTTTTAAATAACGAGATAAAACTCTACCTAAAAATAAATTAAAAATCGTATGCTGGGCACAGTGGCTCATGCCTGTAATCCCAGCAGTTTGGGAGACCAAGGTAGCAGGACCATTTGAGGCCAGGAGTTCAAGACCAGCCTGGGCAATATAGCAAGTCATTGTCTCTAAAATAAAATACATTTTCCAGAGAAATTAGTTGGGCATGGTAGTGTGCACATGTGGTCCCAGCTACTCAGGAGGCTGAGGTGGGAGGATGACTTGACCTCAGGAGTTCAGTTACAGTGAGCTATGATCTTACCATTGCACACCATCCTGGACAACAGAGTGAGATCTGGTGTCTAAAAATAAAATAACATAGATAAAATAAAATACAAAACCTGCCATTCTGTCTTTCCCTCAACTTCCCTTTTCAGTTTCAGTTAGATTGCAGAGCCAGAAGAAAAAAAAGAAAAAATGTTTCCAGGAAGGCAAGTCGATGGGAGAAGTGTCTTAGCTATCCCAGCTACAGAGATGCTACCCCACACTTTTACCAAAGCAATCTATATCTCCTCTCATTTTCTCTTTTGCCCCTTCCTAACAGACCATCACACAAAATATTTTTCCAAATAACTTCATTTTCACTATACCTTCCAGTGTTGTCCATAAATTAGGATATGTTTCTTGGCAATGTCTACTCTGTCCCAAGCCATCGCCAGATTTAGTTGCTCTGATGATGATAAATTTGTGCCTAGGATAAAAGAAAGGAACAATCATATATTCTTTTCAAAACGTCTGCACCAGAAGCACAAAGTACTGTGGTACCTGTGAAGTGGAAGTAAGGAACAATTGCAACCCCATCCAGATACTCACCCTTCAGCAAAGCTGTGAGGACTGCTAAGTCGAGGTCTTGCTGCTCTTCAGAGTCAGCATCAAATATGGTAATCTACAACAGTGAAAAACAGCCATACATTTGGGGAACTATCAAATAAATGCTTTCAAAGAGCACCCACAAAATTCAGACTGGAGCTAATGAATAAAGGAAAACATTCTTCTTTAAAACCTTTTTTTTTTTTTTTACTTACAGAAGAGAAAACTTTTAAATAGGGTAATAAAGAATTGTGAGCACTTGGGGGAAAAGAAAACCTAAAAATTCCACATACACAGAGGAAACATTTATGAAAGAATGTTATTACTTTAATTTACTATGCACACACTACAACTGAAAGAACCTCAATGTTAATTTCTAGTGTAAATAAAATGATTTCTCCTTTCAAAGAGATAACAAATGAAATCCTTCATTCACCTAGCCCGGGAAACTAAGACTTTTGCATTTTTTTCCCTTTTCTTAATTTTTTGCAGAGATAAGGTCTCACTATATTGCCCAAGCTGGTCTTGACCTACTGGACTCAGGCGATACTTCTGCCTCAGTCTCGCAAAGTGCTGGGATTGCAGTCAAGTCACCACACCCAACCAGGCTTGCTTTTTAATGAGAAATATATCCTCAAGGGTTGTAATAAAATATGTGAAGTAATCACAGCGCACCCAGTGAGAAGTACCCTGGGCAACACGGAAGGTCTTTAACTTTTTAAAGACAAGTAAGTTCGTTACTGATGATTCTAAAGGGTCACCTTGGGGTCTTTTGAGCCGCTTTCTGATTTCGTTTTCAATAAATCTCTGCTTTTGTTGCTTCAAAAAAAAGGGGGAAAGTCTCCTGCTATTAATGACTATATCTCAGTCTTTTCAAATGAAAATACATTTCATATAGTAGATGGAGCCATTTTAATGAAAAAGCCAAAACTGGCAAGACCTGGTTCCAAGTATGCCAATAACAAGCCAGCCCTAAGTAAATATTGTAAGGTTATTGAACCTCAGGTTCCTCTTCCATAAAATGAAGAGGAATAATCTCTAAGAGGAATAATCTCTAACAATCTGCTGAATAATCTCTAAGGTCTCATAAAGATAAAAAACTATGCTTCTACAACTTTACATGCTGTTTCCTTTCACCTGACATGCCTCTACGCGCATAAATTCAACCCTCAATTGTACAACCCACTTCCTATCATCTGCAAGCCCTTTACTGCCTTTTCTTGCCCCCTCTTGATCATTACATTGCTCAATAACTATTCTGCTTGATGGCAGGAAGAGGCAAACACAAGGGCAATCTCTTTAACATGTCCTTTTCTTAACTTACTGATTACTATGGCAAATAGAAAGTGCAGTAGACTAAGAAGATTTCAACTCTGAGCTGAAGTTTCAGATCCATGGTTTTTTGTTGTTGTTGTTTTGGTTTTTGAGACAGGGTTTCACTTTTGTTGCCCAGTCTGGAGTGCGATGCTGCGACCTCAGCTTGCTGCAACCTCCGCCTCCCAGGTTCAAGTGATTCTCTTGCCTAAGCCTCCTGAGTAGCTGGGATCATAGGCACCTGCCACCACACCTGCCTAATTTTCGTATTTTTAGTAGAGATGGGGTTTCACCATGTTGGCTAGGCTGGTCTCGAACACCTGACCTCAGGTGATCTACCCCCATCGGCCTTCCAAAGTGCTGGGATTATAGGCATGAGCTACCATACCCAGCCAAATCTATCATTTCTTAACTGCATGACTGCAAATCCCTTAAATTCTCTAGCCTTCTGCTTCATCATTTCAAAAGTGGAAATAAACAACTACTGCCATATTGAACTTGCTCACAAGGCTATTTCAGATAAAAAGAATATATTTAGAAGCACACTGCTAATTGTAAGCATGGTTGCTATTATGTTGTTATTGGGCCGACTAAAATTCCAAAGAGTTTTTCACATATATTTTGTCATACTTCCTCCAGTCAAAACATTTCAGTTAGTTTTTATGAGGCCAAGTACTTAAATATTACCAAAATTCTTATACAATTGGGTCCAGCCTTCACATACTAGAAAGATCACCTTGAATAATGACATATCTGCATATTTACTGTAATTGTCAGCTTCATATTATCATCTGAGTCATTGACATGAATTGATAGATAATTCAGGCTGAGTGTGGTGGGTCATGCCTGTAATCCAGCACTTTGGGAGGCTGAGACAGGTGGATCGCTTGAGAACAGGAGTTCGAGACAAGCCTGGTCAATACGGTAAAACCCCATTTCTACCAAAAAAAAAAAAAAAAATCAGCTGGGAGTGGTAGCATGTGCCTGTAGTCCCAGATACTAGGGAGGCTGAGGCCCAAGAATGTCTTGAACCTGGGAGGTAGAGGTTGCAGCAAGCCAAGATCGTGCCACTGCACTCCAGCCTGGGTGACAGAATGAGATGCTGTCTTAAAAAAAAAAAAAAAAAAGAATTGATAATTCATATCACCCAAGTCATTTTGACCATAGGCTGGATATGGTGGCTCATGCTTATAATCCCTGAACTTTGGGAGGCCAAGGCACGATGATCACTTGAGCCCAGGAATTCAAGGCTGCAGTGAGCTATAACTGCAAAAGAGCAAGACCCTGTCTTTACCAAATAAATTAATTAATTAAGTTAATTAAGTTTTTATCACAGTCCCCTAAAACACTAAAAACTTTTCCTGAGTCTACATTATGGTCATAGCCCATAGTTTTTGGGCTCTATTTTTATTCCAGAGTTTATTCTCACTTTTCTCTTGTCTAATACATACCCAATGATTTCCTGTAAGATTTACTCAGGATGCTGCGATGCAGTCATGTTACTCAGCACCATAAAGCTATGTTCGTTGAAGACACGGAGCTGTTCCCTTACCCTCTAAAAATACTTCAGTGTAATTTTCATTAAATTTTATAACTTTTCTGGAACATGGTTATACTAAGTACTTTTATTCTGTAGTCTTAAATTTGAAGCATGAGGGGTGAGGACAGTAAGAAGCCAAGTTCACTCAACTAAGAATCAAATTCTGTAGAGCTAGATACACTCAAAATCAAAATTTTTAAAATCAATTATTATTATTATTATTTTTTTTTTGAGACGGAGTTTCGCTCTTGTTACCCAGGCTGGAGTGCAATGGCGCAATCTCGGCTCACCACAACCTCCGCCTCCTGGGTTCAGGCAATTCTCCTGCCTCAGCCTCCTGAGTAGCTGGGATTACAGGCACGCGCCACCATGCCCAGCTAATTTTTTGTATTTTTAGTAGAGATGGGGTTTCACCATGTTGATCAGGATGGTCTCGATCTCTCGACCTTGTGATCCACCCACCTCGGCCTCCCAAAGTGCTGGGATTACAGGCGTGAGCCACCGTGCCTGGCCAAAAATCAATTTTTTATTTTTAATTATTTTCAATTTTCTTAAAATTTTATTTTAAGTTCTGGGGTACCTGTGTAGGATGTGCAAGTTTGTTACACAGGTAAACATATGTCATGGTGGTTTGCTGCACCTATCAACCCATCACCTAGGTATTAAGCCCTGCATGCATTAGCTATTTTTCCTGATTCTCTCCCTTCCCACTTCCCCCTGACAGGTCCCTGTGTGTTGTTCCCCTTCCTGTGTCCATCATATTTTTTTTTAATTGTGAAAATAAATGTCATAATGTTTACAAATTATCAGTCTTAATTAAATGTCGAATCATCAACTTGTCATACTCACACAATCCCTGTGAACCATACACTCCATTAGAATTTGGAAAAGGTGCTTGGACTCCTTAAGACTAAAGTTGAAAGTGTTCTGAACCATGCAGATGATCTCTTCTTTTACCTGAGGACGCAGCATCCTGGAAGAGAAATAAGTGGTCTTGACACAACCCAGAGAGGGGACTGAGCTGGCAACATCAGTACAAGAAAACACCCCATTGCTCCCTAGACTGAAAAGGTGTCTATGGACAGTTCTGCCAGGAGAGCAAATGAGGGGGGAACAAACGGAAGCAGGAGCTCAAGAAGAAGGCTGAATCTGAAAGTGAGAATGGAGCTGGGCATGGTGGCTCACACCTATAATCCCAGCACTTTGGGAGGCCCAGGTGGAGGATAATTGAGGCCAGGAGTTCAAGGCCAGCCTGGGCAACATAGCAAGACCCTGTCTCTATTTTTACATTTATAAGAAGGAAGGAAGGAAAGGAGGGAGGGAGAGAAAGAAAAAGAAAATGACTTGATCTGCCACACCCTGAAAAGCATATACTCTGAAGTGGAGTTCTGAAGCTGGTAGATTTCCAGGGGTTGAGAATCTCCAGAAATTAGAAGTATTATATTCTATAAAGGATCTGAAACCCCAAAAGGTTTAATAACCACAAGTCCAGGATGATTTCAGAAAAGGGAGAGGAGTGAAAGCAGAGGGAGGTGGGAGAGGGTAGAAGTGGAGGCCGGAGGGATGAACAGAGAGAGCAACTGCAAGCAAAGACACTCCAGAGAGCTGTTACAGCATAAGCAACAAATGACTGTTTAGTAAGTAAATTAGTGGGGTCCACATTTTAGTTCTTAGGCACTGTACTTATTTATACAACAGAAATATCATGCTTTTGAAATTGGAAGAATCACACTGGATAGAGGGATGGCAAGAGAAAAAATATCTTATTTGAAAAGAGGAAAGAATTAAAACTGAAGTAAGCACAACATATGCTATGAAAATGTCAGGATATAGACTTCCCTAATTTCTGCCTAACGGCAAATGAATTTGGAGGTGCTCTGGGCCCAACACTGGCCACCTCCCTTACTGTAAGGTCCTTACGGCTGTAACGGCCGACTGCTCGAGCAACACCTCCGTCACTCCCTCTGCAACCACCTCTTCCCAAAGTTCGGGCAAGACTGAAGCTTTCCTGTTAAAGGCAGGTCAATCTTCAGCTAAGAAAATAGCAACTGTCATCACTGGAGGGCATTCTGATGTTGAACAACAAACACACAGTTGCTAAGAAATGAAATCCAGTCTCAACTTCTATACTGCAAGAGTATCTGGCCCACATAAATGCACAGTTGAAAGAACTAAAATGGAAGGATAAATAGTCCCTATCGTTTCAAAAAGGAAGAGCCAACAACTCACCCTTCATCTGCCAGGTGTTTGTGTGTGAAGGCCAGGAGGTCGGCTGCCCTGCCTGTGCCCTCACACACCACCACCGGGTCCTTGTCCTTGACAGTCTCCCACACTGACAGGATGACGTTGGGACCGCCTTCCACCACCAGCCCCACCACGGGCACGCCTTGTCTTGAGCCTATTCCAGACCACAAATAATACCACACTGTTAGAGAATCCCTATCTCAGCCAGTCAGCCACTTTGACTTCCAGACAAGTCTCAGTTACCACCATGTTCATCCCTCGAACTGGTCCCTCTCTCATTTTACCCTGGTTTGCTTAAATCAAGACCAAGCCAGAAACTTAGGCTTCAAATAAAATGTGGCATAAATATGGTGAAAGCATCCTCAAGCTTTTACCAGGTAAAAGGGCTTTCAATAAATTTTTAAAATAAATATTCCTTAAGAAATTATAACTTTCTATTACGGGAAACTTCAAAAGTATCTAAAAGTAAACAGAATATAATGGATCCCAATGTTTTCCTCACTCATCTCCAAAAATAAGCAACATTAACCGGTTCAATAAACATTTTAATTATTACTTATTTATTTCATATAAGACAAGGTCTCACTCTGTCACCTAGGCTGGAGTGCAGTGGTGCAAACACAGCTCACTGCAGCCTTGACTTCCTGGGCTCATGCAATCCTCCTGTTTCAGCCTCCTGAGTAGATGCAACCACAAGTATGTACAACCACACAGTTTTTTTTTTGTTTGTTTGTAGAGTTGGGGTCTCCCTGTGTTGTTCAGGCTGATCTTAAGCTCCTGATCTCAGGTGATCTTCCTGCCTCGGATTACAGGCGTGAGCCACCACACCCAGCCTCTATAAACTTTTAATGGTGGTTATTTCTAGGAACGAGGTAGGACGACAACTTGCATTTCTATTTATTTGATTTTTTATTGTTTAAATTTTTTATCATGACTATATATTACCTTTTTATCTTGCAGACTACATGACCCAAGCATATATATATAACACATACATATATACATAACTTTATTAAAGAAAGAACAAAAAGGAATAACCACACAGTTATTTTTTTAAAAAAGATGTAAGCAAAAAAGCTTATAGAATAATATGCCCAGTATTATCCTATGTGTATTTTTAAAAACATATACATAGATACATATTTTATATACATGTATGCACATACCCGTATGTATACCATGCTATATAAATCACCAGAAAAATCTGGAAGGATACACATCACACTATGAATAGTGGAAAAGAGAGGGGAAGGTTTAGGAAGATGTTGAAAAGGGACCTTGACTATTTATTCTACAGATTTCTTATTTGCTTTAAGTTTTCGTACCACACATATATCGATATACCATATTTAAATCACATTTTATTTTATTTTTCAAAAGAAGAAAATTTGACAGGCAACACCACAGTCACCCCTGAGCAAAAGAGGAGTTTACTCTGGTCCCCAGTTTTCTGGGGCCCACACTGGCCTTCCTCTGGCCACGCCCCTGCCCCCATGATGAGGCATCTACAAAGCCAAGAGTCAAGGGAAGCCTGTGCTCCCTCCCCAGCTTACTAGGATGCCCAGGAAACACCATGTCCTGGCTCAGTACTTCCAAAATTCCAAGGTTGCCAAACTCAAGCCTGGCCTTCCTGCTATATGTGTGAAGATAAAGGGCTAAGACATATTGTATACAGTTTGTTAGCTAGATTTAAGGCATTTAAATATCTAGACATATAGTATGTGGTCTTCTGTGTGTACTCTGTGTCAGTCTCTCAAATGTTAGGGGTGGGTCAGTTACCTAAAACATCATTCACCCCGTCGATTTAGTTGCTTTGACATTCTACTTCTTTTCCATATACTTCCACCTCATCATTTTCTCCGTATCACTAAAAAGCATATCTATGATATACCAACTAATAGACATAGGGTTTCTCTAAATCGTCTTATAAAAGCCAAATGAAGTGGCAAAAATAGTATAAGGCACAAAAGTAATAGAAGAAAATTTTGATCAATATTTTATTGATTTTTGAATAAAAACACTTTTGTAAGAGAATTTTTTGTATCTTGTGTAATAAAATGTTATTCAGCCATTAAAATGTACTAAATTATACTCATTGACGTGGAAATATGACCATGTTTAGTGGGGCAGGGGAACAGTACAAAAGAAGCGTTATGAAATCATCCCAGTTTTTGCTCAAAAAGTGTTGTGTGTGTGTGTGTGTCTGCGCGTGTGTGTTGAAAATTCGTGAAAGTTTACATATGAAAAGGTTAAGAATGGTGAGTTTTGATATTGAGATTATGGAAAACTGTCCCGTTCTTCTCTTATCTGCTTTCTTTGCGTTACCTGAATGTGAAAGTCTATAACTCTTTTACCATTTGAAAACAAAATCAATATGGGCATTTTTATAAAAGAGGAAGTAAATTCAATTTCTGTTATTAGGTACACTTGTCTTTTTTTTTTTTTTTTTTAAATTGAGTCTCACTCTGTTGCCCAGACAAGAGTGCAGTGGCACAATCTTGGCTCATTGCAACCTCCACCTCCTGGGATCAAGTGGCACGATCTTGGCTCACTGTAACCTCCACCTTCTGGATTCAAGTGAGTCTCCTGCCTCAGCACCCTGAGTAGCTGGGATTACAGGCATGTGCCATCATACTCATCTAATCTTTTGTATTTTTAATAGAGACGGGGTTTCACCATGTTGGCCAGGCTGGTCTCGAACTCCTGGCCTCAGGTGATCCACCTGCCTCGGCCTTTCAAAGTGCTGGGATTACAGGCATGAGCCACCATGCGCAGCCCACTTTTTGTGAATAACTTATTCTTACAAAATCAAATATACCTATGGCTATTTTCTGCAAACAGTAACAACAACCACCTTACTAATACACTAATAAAAATTGGTTTAAAAGAAAAAAAATGTAAAATTCTTGCTGAGAAATCTCGCCAGAGAGCTGCTTCTACTGTAAGCTTTCAGGGTGAGGGGGGAATACAATGTTAGACCTCCGAATTAAAAGTTCCTGGAATAGGCATTCCAGGAAAGGGCACTCTGATCTCTTGAGACTTGGATTATGCAAAAGTACAGAGGCATCGTGGCTTATGTTTCCTACCTTGAAATTACATCCTTAGAGTCTTACAGAACAGGAGCTGACATTGGCCACATTTCAAATGGCTGAAGGCAGGGATTACTACAGCAACTTCATAATGTGAGGGGTTTTTTTTGCTTGTTTGTTTTGCTTTTTAAGTATTCTCTGCCAACAACAAGGGTTTTCCAGGGACACCAAGAAGACTGGCTGAAAAGCAATAAAATAAATCAACCACAGGCCGGGCACAGTGGCTCACACCTGTAATCCCAGCACTTTGGGAGGCCAAGGCAGCCTGGCCAACATGGTGAAACCCAGTCTCTACTAAAAATGAAAACAAATTAGCCAGGTGTGGTGGCAGGCACCTGTAGTCCCAGCTACTCAGGAGGCTGGGGTAGGAGAATTGCTTGAACTCAGGATGGGGAGGTTGCAGTGAGCTGAGACTGTACTACTGCACTCTAGCCTGAGTGACACAGCAAGACTCAGTCACAAGAAAAAAAAAAAAAGAAAGTCAAATAAATCAACCACATATTTAAGTATTTTCATGCAATCAAACATAAATCCTGGCTGGGTGCGGTGGCTCATGCCTGTAATCCCAGCACTTTGGGAGGCCAAGGCAGGAGGATCACAAGGTCAAGGGATCGAGACCATCCTGGCCAACATGGTGAATCTCCGTCTCTACCAAAACACAAGAATTAGCTGGGTGTAGCCGTGCACACCTGTACTCCCAGCTACTTGGGAGGCTGAGGCAGGAGAATTGCTTGAACCCAGAAGACAGAGGTTGCAGTGAGCCAAGATTTCGCCACTGCACTCCAGCCCGGCGCCTGGCAACAGAACAAGACTCTGTGTCAATAAATAATAAATAAATAAATCCCTTTTTGATCATATCAACAACAAATACAAATATGGTAGCAAACCTCCCTCATGAGCATGTTAGGTATGAAGATCAGCTTTGATAAGTAAGAATTTCTAGTTTCTTGAGGGCATGTCTTCTCTTTCTTCTGCGTGTGTGTGTATAGGTGGCTTAATTGTTTTTGCCATTTTTATATAGGTTCTCCTTAGAATAATAAATATTACCAGTCCACTGGAATTGACTCCACAGTCAGCAAAAGCCTCCAGATAAATCCTAGATTTCAAGGTCTTTGAAAGGAGAAAAATGTTATCTGCTGCTTTGAGTGAGGTCAGGGTTGTTACATTCATACTAAAATGAGGACTAAGCAGGGAATAAGAAAGACAAAGACTCCTATGCCTCTCATGGGGCATACATTATAGTGCTACACAGAACCCCAAGCAATTTAGGTAGTGGGTAAAGGTAAACAGAGGCAACAGGACATTTCAGGTAATATTTCAGGCCCCTAATGGACCCCTCTCTATATGGATTCTTCTTCAAGGTCCTTCTCTGACCTCTCTTCCTTCCCTCTGCTCTGCTGGTCTCCCTTCTCCCAGCCATTCCCACCCCGGAGAAGACCACATCCCTGATCCTCTCTCCCTCTTCTGACCTGCATAAGCCTCAGAACCCCTATTCACACTAAGAGTTAAGTGAACGACCACAACCCCCAGAGTCCCTCCCCTCCCCCTCCTATCCCACAACCATGAAAGGATCACTGCACCAAAGGAGGGGAAAAGGAAGGAAAGAAACAGACATTTTATTAAAGACATATCGTGTACCTAACACAAGTCTAGACATTGCTAATATACATCTTCTCAATTAATTCTCACAACTAACGTTAGAAGTAGATAGTTCTTTCCATTTTATAATAAGAAAACAGTTTGACAGATGTGAACTCCATTGGCCGAGGTCACAGGCACAAAATGACAGAGCTTCAATCTGTCTGACCTCATTACATTCTGCTGCTTCCAGGGATCAAGGCTAAAAACTAAATGGACTTCCAGTCTTTGATTTTTTCAGTTAACGCTCAAAGGCTGAAAAGGACTTGTGCCTCCTGAAGGCATTCCCACTCCCTGGCCCTTTGTCCCAAAGAAGTATTTTGTGGAAGATTTAATTCAGCACAAGAGGCAGTGGTCCACTTTCTGGTGCCTTGAACCAAAAGTCTCCAATTTTCCAGGCAGCACTCAGCCCTCCTGTTCCCTGTAAAGGATTCAAACTTCCCTGCCCAATGGCGCATGCTGATTCTGGCCCTCCCTGCTCCTCCCCTTCCTCAAGATAAAACTACCAAAATGCCCCTCTTGAAGCACCATCGGGAGCATGACACAAATTTGACACTTTCCAAGGTCCCTATTTCTTTTTCTTTTCTTTTCTTTTTTTTTTTTTTTTTTTTTTTTTGAGACAGAGCCTCACTCTGTTGCCCAGGGTGAAGTGCAGTGCTGCGATCTTGGCTCAGCACAACCTCCGGCTCCTAGATTCAAGCAATTCTCCTGCCTCAGCCTCCTGAGGAGCTGGGATTATGGGCATGCACCACCACGCCAGGCTAATTTTTGGATATCTAGGAGAGACGAGGTTTCACCGTGTTGGCCAGGCTGGTCTTGAACTCCTAACCTCAGGTGATCTGCCCACCTTGGCCTCCCAAAGTGTTGGGATTATAGGTTTGAGTCACCACAACCAGCTCCAAGGTCCCTATTTCTTTTTATTTTTTATTTTTTTATTGCATTTTAGGTTTTGGGCAAGGTCCCTATTTCTAAAACTCCTATCTAGTCTTAACCCCTTCCCTGTCTACGGCCACCCCACCTGCACATGAAATATCATCTTCCCTGACCATCAAAGCTCACGCTCCAAGTCCCCTCAAGCTAGTCTCCTGAGTGCTCTTCAGCCACCCCGCTTCCCACATGGGTATCTCCCCTCCTCTCTCTCTCTCCATCTAGCCAACCCAAATGACTCTTCGAGGATCCACCAAAGTCTTCATCCCTCCATCATCCCCCTGACATATCTTCCTCTCTCTCACCTGTCACCCACAAGTCTGCGCTGTCTTATATCCTGTTTTCTTCTGGCTGTGGGTTCACTGTGTTAACTTAATCCCCCGGCTGCTCTAAGGCAGGGGTCAACTTGGGCCTCTCTACTCTGTCCAGGTGACAAGTGAGCACCTTGACCACAGTGAGCCCACAGCTGGAAGAAAGTAGGATGTCAGATGGTGCAGACTTGTGGGTGACAGCTGAGAGAGAGGAAGAATTCTTTGGGGGGAATCACAGAAGGATGAAGACATTAGTGGATCCTCGAACAGTCTTTCAGGTTGGCTTGATGGAGGGGGAGAGGAGGGGAGATACCCACGTGGGAAGCAGGGTGGTTGAAGAGCATTCTGGAGACTAGCTTGAGGGGACTAAGGGTGTGAGCTCTGATGGTCAGGGAACACCATGAAAGACCTCAGGAGGCTTCCAACCAGCCCTACTGACCGAGCCCCTGTGATACTCACAGCAGTGTATTTTCTGCAGAGAGAGGTACTTCTCCAGGTTCCTTCTGAGCTTCATTTCATTTCCATACTTGCCCACGGTCCCATCATCAGACAGGATGAAGTGTGAGTGCATGCTGTTGAGTGTTGTGAGCTTGCTGAGGGGGTTACCCAGAGTCTGGTACAGGCACACCACCTGAGAGACAGCAAGGACAAGAGAGGGTCAGCGCTCTAGATCCTTCCCCAGGCTCACCTGCTCCAGGGGCCTATGTCTATGTGCTAAAAGAGCTCCTGTCTAGTTTAAAAAGTATCACTTGCAATTTAGAGCAGTGCTTCTCAAACTACCTGTGGTATCGCTTTTTTAAATTTCCCATGTTTTAATGAACCAATATGGGATCCTACTATGAATAACTGGTAGGCAGCTTGTGGTACATGAGATTCACAACACAAGTTTAACAATAATGAAACATACCCTGTTCAGCAAGATCAGCCTGCTTTCCTTGTGCTTGAATAACACAGCACAGTCACATTGCTGACAGTGGTTCTAAATATTTTTCCTTTTTTTTCTTTTTGAGAGGGAGTCTTGCTCTGTCATCCAGGCAGGAGTTCAGTGGCACAATCTTAGCTCACTGCAACCTCCACCTCCTGGGTTCAAGCAATTATCCTGTCACAGCCTCCCGAGTAGCTGGGATTATAGGCCCGCACCTCCACACCGGCTAATTTTTGTATTTTCAGTAGAGAAGGAATTCAAGCAAGGCCTTCTATTTCATTTCTGTGCTTACCTTGCTTCAAACCACTAAAAAACAATTCAAAGACTGGCACCAGTACACAGAAAACACCATTATTCAAAAATACTCTTTTAGTAGATTTATTTTAGAATAATATTTTGACACTGACTTTTCTCTAGTATTCCAAAGAGAACAGCTGGCCATGTGTGGTGGCTCATGCCCATAATCCCAGCACCTTGGGAGGCCAAGGCTGGCAGATCACTTGAGGTCAGGAGTTCAAGACCAGCCTGGCCAACACGGTAAAACCCTATCACTACTAAAAATACAAAAATTAGCCAGGCGTGGTGGTGTGTGCTATAGTCACAGCTACTCAGGAGGCTGAAGCACAAGAATCACTTGAACCTGGGAGGCAGAGGTTGCAGTGAGCCTATATCTTGCCATTGCACGCCAGTCTGCGTGACATAGCGAGACTCTGTCTCAAGAAAACACACACACACACACACACACACACACACAGTAGAACAGCCAACCAGCCAAAAAGCATTTCATTCATTATAAAACATCAAAATCTTTATTACATTACATTAATGGACACTTTCTTAAGCTGTTCCGCTTCGTATTTGCTTTTAGAGGCAAGAGTACAGTATTTAGAATAAGAAAGCCCAAGTTTCAGTGGAGACCCTTCCTATACAACTGCAACCAAGTGATTGGTGAGAAAATGTTTCTCTATGTGGAGTATTTAAGTATTTTGAGTGTTAAGTACATAGAGCTTGTAAGCTAATAAAGAAAGGACATTATAAATAAATGTCAGCATGTTGGAACTCTTGAAATAATGAATCTATGCAATGACTCATAACATTATAAAAAGAGAGACCAACATATATTACAAGGGAAAGACATACCTCCTCTTATGGCATAAACTTACACAGAAAACCTAAATCTGATCATACCTCTCGATCAGACTACCAACTTACAAGAAGCAAAGAAACATGCTAAACCCTACTACAAAAGATTAAATCTGGAAAATCCAAGCTGTAACAAACTCTTCAGAACAAATGACCCAGTTTCCTCAACAAGTAAATTATACACACATAAAAAAACGAGATGGAGGTAAAATCCATAGATTAAAAGTGACCAAAAAAAAAAAAAAGAAAAACCAGGTCAAGAGGTATATGAACCTATCACAATGTATGACACTTTTTTAGATAATGAAATCAAAATATTAAACAATGAAGACTCAAGAAATCATGGTTTTGAATAAAAACATTATGAGGCAATGAAAAATTTGACTAGACTGGACAGTCAGTGTTAGGAATTCCTGGTAATTTTTTAGATATAATAATGTCATTATATGTTTTTCATTGGCCATGTATTTTAGAAAAAACTAGCGAAATATTTATAGATGAAATGATTTGATGTCTCAAATTTGCTTCAAAATAACGGAGGGGGTCGGCTGAATGGACAAGGGAAGAGAGGAAACAAAATTGACTATGAGCTGCTAACTGTTGAATCTGGAGATAGGTACGTAGGAAAGAGTTCATTTTTCTAATTTTTCTGCTGCCTAATATGTTTGACGTTTTCCAAATTAAAAGTTAAAACAGGCTGGGTGTGGTGGCTCACGCCTGTAATCCCAGCACTTTGGGAAGCTGAGGCGGATCATCCGAGGCCAGGAGTTTGAGACCAGCCTACCCAACATGGTAAAACCCCATCTCTACTAAAAGTACAAAAATTAGCCAGGCATGGTGGTAGTTGCCTATAATCCCAGCTAGCAGGAGAATTACTTGAACCTAGGAGACTGAGGTTGCAGTGAGCAGAGATTGTGCCACTGCACTCCAGCCTAGGCAACAGAGCCAGAATCTGTCTCAGAAAGAAAAAAGTCAAAACAACCCATAAGCTTTGGGACGCCAAGGTGGGCGGATCATGAGGTCAAGGGATCGAGACCATCCTGGCCAACATCGTGAAACCCCTTCTCTACTAAAAATATAAAAGTTAGCCTGGCGTTTGGCACGTGCCTGTAGTCCCAGCTACTTGGGAGGCTGAGGCGGAAGAATCGCTTGAACCCAGGAGGCAGAGGTTGCAATGAGTTGAGACTGTGCCACTGTGCTCCAGCCTGGAAACAGAGCAAGACTCCGTCTCAAAAAAAAAAAAAACCATAAGCATGTCTGTATTAATCAGCATGGAGAAATAACTATGGCAAATAGGTACGCTAAAAAAAAGCAGATTTATAGCAGTGAGTTCTGTTGTTACTTTTTAAATATACACTTTTTTACTGTACATATACACACATACATAGCTGTACATATACACACATCCATAGAAAATATTCTGAAATGATCCACACGGAAATATTAACAGTAGTCATCTTTCTTCTTTAGAACATTTTCTTATGTCTGATATTTTACTGAAAATTTAGCCTTACAAACAGACTCAGACAAGTCCAGTCCCTTTAAAAGAATACATAGGATCAACCAATACATAAGAAGCAATGAAGCAGAGTAATACAAGGTAAGAGATGAGAACTAAGAGGGTCGAATTAAGAATGTCCCTTGTTTCACTCTGGGCAAACCACTGCACCAACCTTGGCTACTACTTTAAGTGAAACAGGAGCCATTGAAGGCTTTTGCACAGAGAAATAGTGTGATCTGATTTGTATATTTTAAAAGAATCATTCTGGCTACTATGTTGAGACTAGGCTGTTAGGAGACAAAGGTAAGAATAAAGATGGCTATTGCAGTCATTCAGGCGACAGATAATGGTGGCTTGGATTCACTCAGTAACTGTAGGGGTAGTGAGAAGAAATCAGATTCTAGATATATTTTTAAAGTGAAACTGATGGATCAAGTTTGAGTGTGAGACAAAGAGATCATTCCAGGATTGGTCCAAGACTTTTGGCTTGAGCAACTCCAAGAGTGGGATTGTCATCTTCTAAGACAGGGTGAGGGAAGCAGCAGAAAGTCAGGAGTTAGTTTTGAAGCTACCACATCTGTGATGTTCATTCATTCGACTCCAGGTACAATGTTAAGCTGGCAATTTGCACACATGTTCATTTTCTTTTGTTGTGAAAGGACTGTCTACTTACATCTTTTCCAATAAGGTCTCTCTGGTTCTCAATGACACCCCAAGGAGGGATTCCAACTGTCCAGATTTTTCTCAAGGAATGAGAGGAATGGGATTTCAAGGCATCCCCAACATGCTTGGACACTCCTATGAACAACCAGTTTAGAAGTCAAACTTGAATTCATAAATTGTGCAAAACAAAGAGACTGCCGGAAAGAGACAAATAAATGGGAAACCACATGTGAAGGGCTATTCTTAGGGAAAGTTGCTGGCACAGTGGAATTAGTTTCTGATACCTTGGCTTCCTCTATTCTTTCTGGACACCTCTTCCTCTCATCATTACCTCTCTCTACCTTAACAATGTTCCTCTCTCTTTGAGCAATTTCTGCCTACAACCTCAGTTCTGATCCTACTCTTGCCTAACCAAAATGCTATATACTGTCCTTCCTCAGCAAGCCCAGTGCTAATATTATGAATTTTTCCCCCAATCTTACTAATATATACTCAGCAAAATATCCTGCAGATATGTCCCTTGCTTATTAAGGTAAACTAATTTAATAGCTTTATATGCACAAATATATCAAAGTTATCCCTCCAAAAAATATATTTCAAAGCTAATACACTGAGGAGTAGTATGTTAATGTTTGCCCTTCTGGAATTAACACTAGTCTTTATTACAGTAGCCAACACTTACTGGGACATAGTAAGATTTCAGTGTGGGCTACCTTTGTATGTATTTATACTTTAAGCTGGAACTTTTTAAAGTCCATTTTATAGGCAAAACTGTGGCATGGAGAGTTTAAATAAATTGTCCAAGGTTGCAGAGCTTTGGACAATTTATTTAGAGCTTGGATTTTGTAGAGATCGGATTCCAATTTAGCCAATCTGACCTTTTTAAAGAATAGACTGCACTTTTTAGAGCAGTTTTAGGTTTACAGAAAAATTGAATGAAAAGCACAGCAATTTCCCTTGCCACTCCCTGGTCCTGCACAAACATTGCCTCCCCAACTATCGGCATCCCCCATGAGACTGGTACATTTGTTAAAATTGATGACTCTGCATTATAAGGTCATGACTAATAGATTATCATTATTCTCCATAGTCCTCAGTTTACATTAGGGTTCACTCTTGGTGAAGTACATTCTATGAGTTTTGACAAACATACAATGATGTATATCCACCATGTTAGTATCACTGCCCTGAAAATATTCTGTGCTCTGCCTACTCATCCCTCTCTCCCCTCAGCTCCTGGCAACCGCTAATCTTTCTACTGCCTCCATAGATTTACCTTTTTCAGAATGTCATATACTGTAGTTGGAGTCATACAGTAAGTAGCCTTTGAGATTGGCTTAATCTGACCTTTAAATCACAATGATGCATTGTAAGACTTATTCTTCCTATGTGTGGTACTGACCCTATCTGTGTCTTTAGCACAGAAAGAAAAAATAACCTGCATATTGCATGGATGTGATACTTACGAGCTAAATCACTTCCTTGTTCCTAGCATCTTCCCTTCCAATTCATTTTCTGACCCTCTCCCAAAACCATCTCTAGAATCTGCGATCTGGATCATGGGCACATGTCAATATCAAGTGTGGAGACATCCACCCCAGTAGAGATTCCGATTCCATGGTTTGGCATGGTTTGTCAACATTATTGGTACTGTTATAAGCACCTTACACGTGATCATAATACATATTGCTCTCTGTAAAACCCGATCTGATCATGTAATCCCCCTATTCATCCTGCTGTTCAAATTCCTTTCAGGGCACCTTGCTACGTAGAGAATAAGATATCAGCATGGCACCCAATCTGGTTCCGGTCTCCTTTGCAGTCCCTGTTCCCTGCCACACGGCACACACTACAGCGAGGAGCTTTATCACTTCTTTCTACACATGCCTTCATCTCTATCTGTGTGCCTAACCCTGAGCTGCCACTCCTTAGTAATGCCACTTCCTATCTTTCCCACAAGACCAATGCCAAGTGCTATATCCTTCCCAAGACTTCCAAGGAACTGGAATTCATCTCCCTCTTCCTTGTATTCTCAAAACACTTCCTTTGAAACTCAACTATAACCCAGTCAGCATCAATTTCTTACTAGTTGCTTTTTGTCTGTCACAGCCCAACCCATCCCTAAATCCAGGGTCCTCCTCTTTCATCCCTAGCACCTACTCAAATGCTTGTCACACAGTGGTTTCTCAAGGCTTGCGGCATTCAATTTAAGCAAATGTCAAAGATTCATGCCAAATTATGTTCAACTATGGTTGAGAAGCCTATCAAGAATAGACAGAAGCTCATAAGCAGAGCTCAAATTTAAATGTGCACAGGAATCGTCGGGGGATGTTGTTAAAATGCAGGTTCTGATTCTGCAGTTCTGGGGTAGGGCTGGAATAGGCACTTCCAGCAAGCTCTCAGTTGATGCTGATGCTGCTGCTCCAGGGACTAATCCTTAAGCAGCCAGGTCCTAGAGGAGCTGTGGTTGAATCAGGTCAGATTGATTGGTTTTTGTTGTTGTCATCATCTTCATCGTCGTCGTCTTCTTCTTTTCTTCCTTCTTCATTCTTCTTCTTCCTCCTCCTCCTCTTTTTCCTCCTCCTCTTACTCCTCCTCCTCCTCCTCCTTCTTCTAGATAGGGTCTTGCTTTGTCATCCAGGCTGTGTGCAGTGGCATGATCACAGCTCACTGCAGCCTCGACCTCTCAGGCTCAAGTAAGCCTCCCACCTCGGCCTCCCCATTAGCTGGGTCTACAGGTGCACACCACCATGTCCAGCTAATTTCCATATTTTTCTAGAGATAGGGTTTTGCCATGTTGCCCAGGCTGGTCTTGAACTCCTGAGCTAAGGTGATTCACCAGCCCTCAGCTTCCCAAAGGGCTGGGATTATAGGCATGAACCACTGCATCGGCCTGACTGTTGTTTAGTGAAGATCCAAGTATTTCTCATTTTCCATTTATTTTGTTCATATAAAGTATTTCAATCATCTTCACACTACTCTATTTGTGTTCCTTTAGGTTAGCTGACATGAACCTAAATGATCTTTTTAAGGCATTAAGTAAAACAAAGCATGACATTCAGTTAGTGATTCAAAGAAAAGCCTTGCCCAAGCCTGGCTTTTTAATGAATGATGTGAAACTTCCCTACCCACCCACTTTTCATACTGGAAATCAAATAAGAACCATACAATGGACTTAGAACTCTGCCAACTTCAGTTTCTTCCAAGAATGTGAAACAATCTCTATAAAATATGCTTGATAAACTACTGTGTTACCTATTCGTGACAGGTCAAGTCCCTTGGTTTTATTTTGCTTTGTTTTTTCAGTCATTCACTTCCTTCATTTCTTTTCAGCCAAAAGAAACTTTGTTATATCAGTACAAGGTGCTAAATGCTTAGGCAAATGTTCAGATCCTGGCCCCTAGTACATAATCAGAAGGAGAGCTAACACACTGACTCATCCTAACCTGTAAGGCAAAATATCAGCATTCTACAGGTGCTACAGGCAGTAAATGCTGGAGAAACTAAAAGACAAAAGTGAGTAGCTCTAGTTGAGATATTCAAAAGGCTGTCTCATGGGTGTGTTGGCATCTCATGTAGATCTTAAAACATGGACAAAATTTGACAGGAGACACTGGTGAGGGCATACCAAATCAAAAGAGAGAAAAGTATAGAGAAGATAGAAAACCACAGGTGAGTAACAAATTGGTAAGAGACAAGAGTTTATGGAATCACTACTTCTCAATCCTGGCTGACATGTTTCAGAAGCTCCAGACTGAAAGCCTCTAATTCATCTGGGGAAGAGTGTGTACTTCTGTATTTTAAAAGCTTCCTAGGTTGTCCTTATGTGCAGAGAGTTCACAAACACCAAAGCAAAGAAATAAGGTCAGAGCCCACCATAGGCAGTTCTTGAATTTCAGATTTCAAGAGGTATAAAAGAGTCAATGATTGAGATGGTGAGTGTTTCGGCAATCATATAGTTTAAAAAAAAAAAAAGTGTCTACTCATGCCCAAAACAGGTAATGCGAGTTTTACCCACATCACTCATTTCCCAAGTCTGAGAAATTCATAATGATTACATGAGTTTAGCAGAGTCCAGGACCACACACACTATGCGCTTGCATGGATTCGATGTCCCTTCTAGCCTTGCTATAGTTGGGAGCTCAGGAAAGACTATTTTCTTTTCCAGAGGTTTATCTGAAGTTATGTTAAAATAGTATATTCTGACAATGGTAAATGCGCATTCCAGGAAAAACCTGTGGTTCTTCTGGGTTTATTCTCTAGTCACTATGCTTTTCATCTTTCTTCCTCACGGCACCACATATCCTAGGAGCGCTGCAGAGCAGAGATTAGGTGGCACACTACATGATTCACAGTTAGAAAGAAGAAAGAAATAAGAGAAAGAGAAGAAAGAATGAAAGAACAAAAGAACAGAAGGAAGGAAGCAAGAAAGGAAGGAAGGAAGGGAGGGAGGGAGGGAGGGAGAGAGGGAAAGATGGTGGGTGAAAGGCAGGGAGGGAAGGAGGGAGGGAGAGAGCTTTACCTGTATTGATGCCTTCAGTTATTATCCATGCTCCTGTTGTCTCTGCAGCTTTAATCAAACCTTGGCTGAAAATCTCTTTAAGTTTAGAGGGCATCGTAAAGTTCTGGATGCCCCCATGTACCGAGATCACCAGCTTGGGCCGTTCCATTTTCCACTCTTTCAACATTAAATGTAACAGATGATCCAATTTTGTATCATAAGAAGTTCGAATATACTGCAAGAAAAGCACATATGGGTGAACACAACATAGTAAAAAAGATATGCCAGGCACAGAAACAATGAGCACACAGCAGGGCAACTGAAATGGCCAAAATCTAAAAGGAAGTATGTGGGATCTCTTTAAAGTTCATCTTCATGTAATGGAAATATTTACTTTTAAAAGATTCCACACTCCTATTAAGTTCCTTCTGGGAATTACGAGTCACTGTAGGAAAGCTTCCTCTGGTTTTTAAGGCTGGCCCACCAATGCTCTCCAAAGAACCTGGGGTGAGACAGAAATACTTCAAATAGCAAGGTATGGTAGCTCACGCCTGTAATCCCAGCCCTTTGGGAGGCCAAGGTGGGCAGATCACCTTAGGTCAGGAGTTCAAGACCAGCCTGGACAACATGGTGAAACCCCATCTCTACTAAAAATACAAAAAATTAGCCAGGTATGGTGTCATATGCCCGTAATGCCAGCTACCTGGGAGACTGAGGCAGGAGAACTGCCTGAGCCCAGGAGGCAGAGATTGCAGTGAGCTGAGATCATCCACTCCACTCACGCCACTGCACTACAGCCTGGGCGACAGAGCAGGACTCCATCTCACAAAAAAGAAATGCTTCAAACAAATGGCCAAAATCACTATGTCAGCAAACCTTTTCATCAGAAGCTATAACAAATAGGTGAAATGGGATTTTGCATAAATGCTATGACTTTCCATTTACTTAACCATTTCACATATTCGTATAATTTAATTAAGATTCAAGAGCATGGACATTTAATTTATTGTAAATTTTATCTTCTAATCATTCTCTTTATTAAAATTGCAAATTTTACCTTCTAACTATTATTCCTCTGAAAGCACTTTCATTCCAAAATAAATACTTTTCATAAAACAGTCATCTCTTTAATAGTCAATGTAAGCAAAATAAAAGATAAGGGAAATCAAAGCCAGCAGGTAGCCCCAGAATCATTTTTTATTTTACCTAAGATTGTACTGCATGGCTGGCTTGCTTTTTCCAGCAAATGCAGATTATTCAAATGATATTGAGATGAGTTCACCTCCCTCAAACCTATGTGAACCAACAGCAAGAATAAGCCAGAGTTATAGAAAGAAGTAAGGACAATAAGAAACCATGAATTATGAAACAGAACAACCACAGGCGAAGATCTCCATACATGCAAATAGGAATTATCACATGATCCTCCAGAACATGATAGCAATTTAAAATAATTTCCCATGGATCTTTGAAATTCTTTTTTTTTTTTTTTTTTTGAGATGGAGTCATGTCACCCAGGCTGGAGTGCAGTGCTGCAATCATAGCTCACTGCAACCTCTGTCTTCCAGGTTCAGGTGATTCTCTAGCCTCAGCCTCCGGAGTAGCTGGGATTACAGGCCCATGCCACCACACCCAGCTAAATTTTGTAGTTTTTAGTAGAGACGGGGTTTCGACATGTTGGCCAGATTGGTCTCGAACTCCTGACCTCAGGTGATCCACCCACCTCAACCTCCCAGAGTGCTGGGATTACAGGTGTGAGCTAACACACTGGCCTGAACTTCTTGATACATAATTCCTTTATTCCATAATTAAAATATTAAAATTTCTGAATATCAGGAATAGTGCAGCTATTGAAAAATGTGAATAACATAGAAAGAATATAAGAATAACCATGGCAGAGCATGGTGGTTCACACCTGTAATCCCAGCACTTTGGGAGGCTACAGCAGGTGGATCACCTGAATTCAAGAGTTCAAGACCAGCCTGGCCAACATGGCGAAACCCATCTCTACTAAAAATACAAAAATTAGCTGAACGTGATGGTGCATGCCTGTAGTCCCAGCTCGGGGAGGCTGAGGCACAAGAATAGCCTGAACTTGGGAGGCAGAAGTTGCAGTGAACTGAAATTGAGCCACTGCACTCCAGCCTGGGTGACAGAGTGAGACTCTGTCACACACACACAAAAAAAGAATATAAGAATAACCAGGACTCAATTGATAAGTGAGGTATCTGAGCTGCCATGGTTAGCAGAAAAAAATACAAATTGACTCTTGTGAAATGCTTTCTGTTGCTCCAAATAATAAGTAAGTACAGAAGAGCCAGTGCTGGTTTAGTTCACCTTCTCCAGAATGCACTCTTCCTCTCAGGCATCCCTCTCCTTCAACTGTAAGTCCTTTTGTCCTGTGAGATATTTCCCCTTGAGATTTCAGGAAAAACAACCTGAATGAACTAAATTATCTGCGTGGGTATTCTTTTCTCCAAAGGCCAGCTGAAGACTATGCTAAAGTTTAATGGAGAGTCTCTGCATCTATAATCATTCTTTCCTATCTATCGCCTTTGTAACTAACATCGTTAGGCAGATTCTTACTGGCAGAAATTCACTTCAAATCCTTCATGGAATGAGATGAGAGAGATAAACAACTGAGAAGGAATTCAGCAGAGAGAGAAATAAGCAGCTCTCCCAAGCTTCCCTGCAGCTCAGCATGAACCTGAAGTAAGAATCTGGACCTAAATATGAATATTTTCTTCTCTTCTTTGACATCAAATAAAATGCATTCGGGTAATCACTTTTTGTTTGTTTGTTTCTTTGTTTTGGCTCTAGTACTTGCCATAGATAGGTAGTTTATAACTGGAGCCTAATACTAAATATAAAACATATTAATTATCAGGATTACATGCCTGTAATCCCAGCAGTTAGGGAGGCGGAGGGGGGTGGATTACCAGAGGTCAGGAGTTCAAAACTAGCCTGGCCAACATGATTAAACCCATCTCTACTAAAAATACAAAAATTAGCTGGGCATGGTGGCAGGTGTCTATAGTCCAAGCTACTTGGGTGACTGAGGCAGGAGAATCGCTTGACCCCAGGAAGTGGAGAGGCTGAGGTTGCAGTCAGCTGACATTGTGCCACTGAACTCTAGCCTGGACAACACAGCAAGATTCCATCTCAAAATATTCCATCTCAAAAAAATAAAAAAAAACCTTTGGGACTTTGGGAGGCCAAGGCAGGTGGATCACGAGGTCAAGAGATCGAGACCATCCTGGTCAACATGGTGAAACCCCGTCTCTACTAAAACTACAAAAAATTAGCTGGGCATGGTGGCGCATGCCTGTAATCCCAGCGACTCAGGAGGCTGAGGCAGGAGAATTGCCTGAACCTAGGAGGCAGAGGTTGCGGTGAGCCGAGATCGCGCCATTGCACTCCAGCCTGGGTAACAAGAGTGAAACTCTGTCTCAAAAAAAAAAAAAAAAACCTTTGGGACACAGTAAGTGTGCGTACCCAGCAAATATTTGTTGAAAAGTGCATAAATGAAGGTATTAAGAATAGGCCAGGCACAACGGCTCAGGCTGTAATCCCAGCACTCTGGGAGGCCGAGGAAGGTGCATCACCTGAGGTCAAGAGTTCGAGACTAGCCTGGCCAACATGGTGAAACCCCGCCTCTACTAAAATAAAAAATTAGTCAGGCATGGTGGCACATGCCTGCAATCCGTCTACGTGAGAGGCTGAGGTGAGAGAGACACTTGAACCCAGGAGGCAGAGGTTGCCGTGAGCTGAGATCACACCATTGTACTCCAGACTGGAGACAGAGCAAGACTACATCTCAAAAAAATAAATAAACAAAAATAAATAAAACATAAGGGCAAAAAAAGGAAAAATAAAACAAGGGAAAATTACACACAGAATTATATGAGAATTAGCTTTCAAGAAAAATTGGAGAAGAGGATGAAGGCAATGTTTCTGTCAACTAGAAACATCAACAAGGTTAAATGCAAGGACTAATAACTGTGAATATAGCGTATTACAGAACTGTATTATGAAAATTTTTTAGGATTGAACTATTAGAAACTAGCACTTCAGATCTAGCCAGCTGATGGTCACACTCCAGGGAAGGGCTGACTCAGAGCTTTCCTGAGGTGGGCTCTCCCTGCAGTTGCTCCAGAGAAAGCTGCCTCTAATCAGGCAGGAGGTGGTTAATATACTCAAGAGAAAACACCTAAGGAATAGCTAACCTGTCAATACTATGCAATCACATGCAAAATTGCCATTTTTGGGAATGTGGAAACCTAAAAGCTGAAATATTATCATCCAGTGGGTGCAGAGAGAAATTCCCCCAAAGTCTTCACAAGAAGAGGCTCTCACAAAACTTGGGAGATAGAACAGTGGGAAATTACTGGTAATTGTTATGGTCATTGTTCATTTAGGAGCAACTAAAGCCTGCTCCTTGGTAATAACTTTTCTGCATTCCTTAAGAATCAATAAGGCAGTGGATTGACAATTGTCCCCAGGGCAATAAGCCATTCTCTTCTGCATAAGTGTAAACTTGCTGAAAGCAAGAGGTCACTCAAATAAAGAGCTGACCACACCACACCAAGGAAAGGTACAATGCCCTTCAGACATAAAGGAAAGGGGATCAAGCAATTTGTCTCAAGAGAGTCAATATCATGGATCATTTCTGCAATGAAACCAGGTCATCCCATTATCTATACTTGGAAATACAAATTGGAAGACACATTTGGAAGTTACCCTCTGTGTGAAACCAGCAAAACAATTTGGGTTATTAGCAAACCTTGGCATGGTAGGTGTGCTCTCCATCTTGGAAATTAATCGTGCCAAAAGTATCTGTCGGGCTTTTCGTTGTGTGCTTTTCAACAGACCATTGTTCACTTTCTTTACCCTGAGCAGCTGAGATGGTCCAGGCATAATCTATCCCAGCATGATCTCCAATCAGTCGGCCACAGGAACACCTTACATTCAAGACAAAAAAAAAAAACTCACTTCAAAATAGAAAATAGATGCAATGTTCCTACCTTTTTCTAGAGTAATGTATAGATGCCATACAGTATGTCTTAAAACTTCATAAGATTTATGTTAGATTTCTAACATAGGACTGTCTTCTAAGTTTAGAAACACTATTAGTGGTTCTCTCCCTTGGCTGCCCATTAGGATAATTTGGGGAATTTTTTTTTAAATGTAGGCATACCTTGGAGATATTGAAAGTTTGGTTGCAGTCCACTGCAATAAAATGAATATGGCAATAAAGCTAGTCACACAAATAGTTTGGTTTCCCAATGCATATAAAAGTTATGCTGACACCATACTGTAATCTAGTAAGTGTTCAATAGCATTATGTCTGAATAACAATGTACACACCTTAATTAAAATAATTTATTTCTAAAAAATGCTATCAACCATCTGAGCCTTCAGTGAGTTGTAACCTATGTGCTGGTAAAAGGTCTTGTCTTAATGTTGATGGTTGCTAGCTGATCAGAATGGCGGTTACTGAAGGTTAAGGTGGCTGTGGCTATGTCTTAAAATAAGATAACAATGAAATTTGCCACACTGATTGACTCTTCCTTTCACAAAAGATTTCTCTGTAACATGTTATGCTGTTTGATAGCATTTTACCCACAGTACAACTTCTTTCAAAATTGGAGTGAATATTCTCAAACTCTGCCACTGTTTTATCAACTAAGTTTATGTCACATTCTAAATCCTTTGTTGTCATTTATACAATGGTTATAGGATCTTCACCAGTAGATTCCATTTCAAGAAACCATTTTCTTTGTTCATCCCTAAAAAGCAACTCTTCATGTAATCAAGTTTTATAATGAGATTCAGTCACACCTTTCAAACTCCAGTTTTAATCCTAGGTCTCTTGCTATTTCCAGCAGCTTCTCCAGTGACTCCCTCCACTGGAGTCTTGAACCTCTCAAAGCTGCCATTCATGAAAGTTGGGATCAGCTTTTCCAAAACTCTCATTAAGGTTGCCATTTTGACCTCCTCCCATGAACCACAAATATTCTTAATGGCTTCTAGAACGATGAATCTGTTCTAGGAGGTTTTCAATTTACTTTTTCCAGAACCATCAGAGGAACCACTATCTACAGAAGCTAAAGCCATACAAAATGTATTTCTTAAAATAATAAGAGTTGAAATTCAAAATTATTTCTTGATCCATGGGCTACAGAATGGATGTTGTATTAGCAGGCATGAAAACAACATTCATCTCCTTGTGATACTTTCATAAGAGCTCATGGGTGACCAGGTCCATGGTCAACAAGCAGAAATATGTTGAAAGGAATATTTTTTTAAAGCAGTAGATCTCAATGGTGACCTTAAAATATTCAGTAAACCATACCATAAACGGATGTACTGACATTCTGGCTTTGTTGTTCCATTTATAGAGCACAGTAAATTTAGTATAATTCTTAAGGGACCTAAAATTTTGGCATGGTAAATGAGAGCAGGCTTTAACATAAAGTCACCAGCAATGATGCTGATAGACTTGCTTGATCCAAGGTTCCCACAAACCTCCAATTGTCTCCTTACAAGAGAGTCAACCAGTCCTTTGAAGCTTTGAGGCCAGACATTGACTTCTCTCTAGCTATGAAAGTCTTAGATGGCATCTTCTTCCAACATAAGGCTGTTTGTCAACATTGAACATATTTGTTTAGTGTAGGTACCTCAGTGATCTTAGCTAGATCTTCTGAATAACTTGATGCAGCTCCTCCGTTAGCAGTTTTTGCTTCACTCTGAACTTTTATGTTACAGAGACAGCTTCTTTCTTTAAACCTCATGAACCAACATTGGCTAGCTTCAAACTTTTATTTTGAAGCTTTTTCACCTCTCTCAGTCTTCATAGATTGGGAAGAGTTAGGACCTTGCTCTGGATTTGGCTTTCATTTATGGGAATGCTGTGGCTGGTTTGATCTTCTATCAGACCACTCGAACTTTCTTCATATCAGCAATAAGGCTGTTTCTTTCCTTTTTTTTTTTTATCATTTGTGTGTTCACTGGAGTAGCACTTATAATTTTCATCAATAACCTTTCCTTTGCATTCACAGCTTGGCTGTTTGGCACAAGAGGCCTAGCTTTCAGCCTAGCTCAGCATTCAACATGCCTTCCTCACTAAGCTTAATTATTTCTAGCTTTTGATTTAAATTGATATATGTGAGACTCTTCACTTTACTTCACTAAGTGGCCATTGTAGGATTATTAATTGGCCTAATTTCAATATTGTTGCATCTCAAGATAGAGGGAGGCGCAAGGAGAGGGAGAGAGACAGGATCAGTCAGTGGAGTAGTCAGAACACATAACATTTATCGATAGTTTGCCCCCTCTTACATGGGTGCAGTTCATGACACTCCAAAACAATTACAATAGTGACATCAAAGATCACAGATTAAAGAATGTCGTAACTGATAGAACAATGATGAAATGAAAAAGTTGAAATATTGCAAGAATCATTAAAATGTGATGCAGAGACAAGAAATGAGCATGTGCCATTGGAAAAAATGACATTGATAGGCTTGCTCGATCCAAGGTTCCCACAAACCTTTAAATTACAAAAATTGCGCAATGTCAGTTAAGCGCAATAAAGTAATACACAATAAAATGAGGTATGCCTGCACCAAACATCTCTTGTATATTCATGATCATAGCAGCATTATTCTGAATATCCACAAAGTGAAGCAACCCAAATATCTATCAGTGGAGGAGTGGACAAACAAAATGTAGTATATAAATACCAAGGCATATAATTCAGCCTTAAAAGGAAGGAAATTCTGACATATGCTACAGCCTGGAAAAACCTTGAAGACATTATGCTAATTAAAAGAATCCAATTATAAAAAGATAAACAGGCCAAGTTTAGTGGCTCACGCCTATAATCCTAGCAAGTTGAGAGGCTGAGGTGGGAGGATCGCTTGAGACCAAGAGTTCATGACCAGCCTGGGCAACACAACAAAACCCTGTCTCTACAAAAGAATACGAAAACTAGCCCCATGTGGTGGTGCGAGTCTGTAAATCCAGCTACTCAGGAGGCAAGAGAATCACTAGAGCCTGGGAGGCAGAGGTTGCAGTGAGCCGAGATTATACCACTGCACTCCAGCCTGGGCAACAAAGCAAGATTCTGTCTCAAAACAAAACAATAACAAAAGTAAAAATAGCCGGGCGCGGTGGCTCAAGCCTGTAATCCCAGCACTTTGGGAGGCCTAGGCGGGTGGATCAGGAGGTCAAGAGATCGAGACCATCCTGGTCAACATGGTGAAACCCCGTCTCTACTAAAAATCCAAAAAATTAGCTGGGCATGGTGGCGCGTGCCTGTAATCCCAGCTACTCAGGAGGCTGAGGCAGGAGAATTGCCTGAACCCAGGAGACGGAGGTTGCGGTGAGCCGAGATTGCGCCATTGCACTCCAGCCTGGGTAACAAGAGCGAGACTCCGTCTCAAAAAAAAAAAAAAAAAAAAAAAGGAAAAATAATTTATCATGTTATGCATAATCTACAACATGTTGAATAAAACCAACAAAAATACAAATATAGAGGGCAGGAATTATAATTTAGATGAGTAAAAAGAGCCTTTCTGACATTTTGGGATGGATGACTTGAAAAAATATTTAAGTAAAAAATAAATAAAAAGAGCCTCTCTAGGAAATCAATTTGACATCAAGACAGTTCTTATTTATTTAAAATTAATATCAAGAAGCAGAGAAAATTTGTCATTTATTATAAATAATTGAGTACAGTTCCTACTGTGACTTTTACCTCACCTTGGTTAATCAACAGATAAGTATTGGCCTTAGCTGCCTGGATATTAAATTTCTGTTTTCTTTAGCTTTCTTGTCAATGCAAACAAGTCAATTTATGGTCCAGTACATGAATAGACATTTAAGATGCAAATTGTTTGCTTCTTTTTTTTCCCCTATAATTAAAGCACATTCTCTTATTAAAGGGAAATTTATATTTCTACATTTATGTACCTCTTTTGCAAGAAGAGCCCTATTATATCATTTTAAAGTTCTTGCCATACCTAATTCTCATTTAAAACAATTATATTGTTTTCTGGTATGAACTATAGTAACAAATTTTGCCTTTTTTGAAACAGATTCTCGCTCTTTTGCCAGGTAGCAGGCTGGAGTATGGTGGTGCAATTTCGGCTCACTGCAACCTCCGCCTCCCAGCTTCAAGCAATTCTCCTGCCTCAGCCTCCCAAGTAGCTGGGACTACAAGCATGCGCCACCACACTCAGCTAATTTTTGTATTTTAGTAGAGACGGGGTTGCACTATGTTGGCCAAGATGGTCTTGATCTTTTGACCTCATGATCGGCCTGCCTTGTCCTCCCACAGTGCTGGGAATACAGATGTGAGCCATCGCACATACAGTAACAAATTTTTAAATGAGAATTAGATAAGTATAGCAAGAACTTTAAAAACTGAAAACATGTTTCTTATCTATATTTTAGAATTTTTTTTTTTTTTTTTTTTTTTTTGAGAGAAGAATCTTACTCTGTTGCCCAGGCTAGAATGCAGTGGTGTAATCTCTGATCACTGCAACCTCCGCTTCCCAGGTACAAGCAATTCTCCTGCCTCGGCCTCCCAAATAGCTGGGATTACAGGGTGCATCATCACACTCAGCTAACTTTTTTGTATTTTTAGTAGAGATGGGGTTTCACCATATTGCCCAGGCTGGTCTTGAACTCCTGACCTCAGGTGATCCGCTCACTTTGGCCTCCCAAAGTGCTGGGATTACAGTCACTTCAGCCTCCCAAAGTGCTGGGATGCACATTTCTAAAAAATTATCTTCATCTATTAAAATCTTCAGACCTGGGCTTGTCTAGAAGTTCTAAACAGCCTAGTCACCTATCCCATAGGTCTACAAACAACACATGGCTCCATGCACTAATCTACCATGACATTATTCCTTTCCTACCTTGGGTATACAGACAAGGTGCTGGGCAAGGCCAC